AAAGCTTGTTTTGCTAGCTTCTTTCTCCTTTCTGTACAGATACAAATTGAACCCCTCCCCACTGTTGATGTGAGAAGTGGCACCTTGATGCCTTGTCACTGATTATCAGCACTTGCCCGGGAGGGGCCCGAGACCCCTGGTTATCTCCCCCTGGCAGGAGGGGCAGAGCACCCGGGACGGAGGGATGACTTATCTAGAGCACCCACAGTTACGGAGAAGCGCCCATGTAGCTCAGACATCTGAACCTGGGCCTTTTCTAGCTCTCTGGCCTGACGACACTTTTCCAGCACAGCATTTCAAAATGTAGTCTTTATGTGAAGTTTATTTAAAAGAAACAGATTTAGGTTTTAGTAGAGATGTATATTATCTGGAAAGATCACCTCTTTAAAAGGCGAATTAAAGTAATGTGTGTTATGAGAGTAGAGTTAACACAAAGTATAGAGTCGGCCCTCGTTTATCACAGTTAATCAGTTCCAGACTTCACCGCCATAAATGAATTTCCGCGAAGCGGGATTCTTTCTTTATATACAGTCAGCCCTCGCTACTTGGCACTTGGACTTTCATGGCTTCACTCTATTGTGTTTTTTTTCAAATTTATACATTAAAAAGTTGATCGAGACAGTGAAAATGATACAGCACACACTTGGTTGTCTGAGTCAATTATACATCCCTGTATTAAAACTAAAATTACTGTACGTATGGACTGTAGGCGTATGTTTTCGAGGACCCCATGAATCCTTCAATGCCAGGTGCAACCGCTAGAGTCTGGAACGGATGAATCGCAGTCGCCACTTCGCTGCGATAGAGTGAAGCTGCGACAGTTGCGCCGAGTGGCGAGGGACGGCTGTACATAAGAAAGCAGTTCAATAGTACTTGGAGCAAGTTTTTTGTTTTTGTTTTTTCTTTTCGGTATGTGCCCCTGGCAGGAACTGAACCTGGGACTCTCTGGTCCACAGGCTGATGCTCCAACCGCTGAGCCAAACTGGCCAGGGCTACTTGGAGCAAGTTTTACTGTGTTTTTCAAGAAACATCTGTTGCTCTGATTTGAAGATCATGTAGGTAATAGGAAAGGCAATCCCTTTCATTAGACATTTTACATTGGGCTCATAACCATAAGGAGAGCTAACTTCAAGAATAAGGAAACTAAGTCAATCAAGAGCACAAAGTTTAGCTACAAAAATTGTTTTTTAAACCCTATCTAGATTTCATCTTTGTAGAATGTTTCACATGGATTGCCCCCTTACTCTGCCCTAATGTTAGCCCCGACTTCTCTGACCCATCTATCACAAATTACATCAGCCTCTCGTCCCCATGTCCCTTATGTTGCTTCGTTTTTCTTCCTAATGTTCATCATCACCCAAAATAGCACATACTGTGAATTTGTTTCTCCCCTAAGCCCCATGTAAACCCCTTGTCTGTTCTGTTCATTGTTTTCCCAGCGCACACAGTAGGTGCTCATTAATTGTTCAATCAATGAATGATGCCTGATACCTTTCTGTTGTACCAATTGGTCTTGTTCTCCATGAAATGCTGAATATCTGGGCAGAGTTGGGAATGCAGGAATGTCTAGAAATGAGGGAGGTGCCTGTGCCCTGTGTGCAAACCATTCCTCTAAGAAATGCGTTTGCAAACTTCCAGTCAAGATGGCGGGTAGGTAAACGTGGTATCATGTCCTCCCACAACCACATCAAAGTTACAACTAAACTACAGAACAATCATCATTCAAAACCACCTGAAATCGAGCTGAATGGAAGTCCTACGACTACTGAATTAAAGCAGCAGCCACAGGAGACTGGTAGGAGGGCGGAGGGGACGGGCTGGTCCCACACCCACGTGTGGCGGATAAAAATCAGGAGGACACCTCGGCTGGGAAGGTCCTCCCTGAGGACTGAGGGTCCCCGTCCCACACCAGGTGCCCCGCTCAGGATTCCAGTGCCAGGAATAGAGTCCCCATAACTTTTGGCTGGAAAAACCAGCAGGAACTGAGGCTCAGGGAAGCTGAAGCGGCTGGAGCCCCAGGCAGCTCCTTAAAGGGCCTGCGCACAAACTTATTGGACTCGCTCCCTCTAAGCTCAGAGGGGAGGCAGCTCAAGGGGCACCAGAGTCATACAGGGAAGAACTGAGCTGTTTGGCACTGGAGTGAGGGCTGGAGATGGGGCTTTCTCCGGGACAAACGTGCTGTCAGAGGACTTTGTTCCTTTGGTGAGCCTTCCCTGGGGCGGCAGACAGAAGCCATATCTGGGACTCCAGCAACCTGGCTCACACTGGTAGCCCCGCCCCGGTGATTCCTGAGGCCCCGCCCCGCCCAACTTTCAGGCCCACCCAAGCTGTTGCCAGTTGCTTTACCATAGGATTGGCTTGTCTTGGATCCTGCTTCAGGTTTTCCTAAATTCTTTCAAACAAGCAGCATCTGGTCTCAGCTAGCCCCATACCTCTCATTAAGTAATACACAGAAACAAACACAGGGAGCAGCCAAAATGAGACAAAGAAACAGGTCCCAAATGAAAGAACAGAACAAAACCCCAAGAAAAGAACTAAGCGAAATGGAGATAAGCAACCTAACAGATGCTGAGTTCAAAATACTGCTTATAAGGATGCTCAATGAACTTAGTGAGAACCTCAGTGAACTTAGTGAGGGCCTCAAGAGCATAAAAAAACAAAACAAAACAAAAAACAGTCAGAAATGATGGATGCACAGTCAGAAATGAAGGAGGCGTTAACTGAAATAAAGAATAACTTACACAGATTCAATAGTAGAGTACGTAAATCCAAGGAGCAAACCATCGTTTTGGAATACAAGAAAGCAAAAACGCCAATCAGAACAGAAAAAAAAAAAAAAAAAGAATCCAAAAAAATGAGGATAGTGTAAGGAGCCTCTGGGTCAACTTCAAGTGTGCCAACATTTGCATCTTGGGGGTGCCAGAAGGAGGAGAGAGAGAACAAGAAATTGAAAACCTATTTGAAACAATAATGGTAGTAAACTTTCCTAACTTGGTGAAGGAAACAGACATATAAGTGCAGGAAGCACAGAGTCCCACACAAGATGAACCCCAAGAGGCCCACCTCAAGACACATCATCATCAAAATGCAAAAGGTTCAAGACAAAGAGAGAATCTTAAAAGCAGCAAGAGAAAAACAGTTAGTTACCTACAAGGGAGTTCCCATAAGGCTGTCAGCTGATTTCTCATAAGAAACTTTGCAGGGCAGAAGGGGGTGGCAAGAAATATTCAGAGTGATGAAAAGCAAGAACCTACAACCAAGATTACTCTATCCTGCAAAGCTGTCATTTAGAATCGATGGCCATATAAAGAGTTTCCCAAACAAGAAAAAGTTAAAGGAGTTCACCACCGCCACCAAACCATTATTATATGAAATGATGAAGGGTGTTTTTGAAGAAAAAGATAAAATATATGAACAAACAAAATGGCAATGAATACATATCTATCGATAATGGATTCTACAAACAAAATGAACAGGCAGAACAGAAACAGTCTCATAGATACAGAGAACATTTTGTTGGTTGCCAGATGGGAGTGGTGTTGGGGGAATGGCTGAAAAAAGTGAAGGGATTAAGAAGTACAAATTCATTGCCAGACTGACAAACCTCAAAGGGAAAGGGGTTGGGGGGTGGGAAGAAATAAACCAAAGAACTTATATGCATAACCAATGGACACAGACAATAGTGTGGGAAAAGGCGGGAGGGGGGTGGGAGTGGGGAGGAGGGGGTCAATCGGGGAAAAACGAGGAACATCTGTAATACATTCAACAATAAAGATTTTGTTTATTTTTATTTTTTTATCCTCACCCGAGGACATTTTTCCATTTTTTGTACAGATAGAGTGGGAGGGAGAGAGAGGAAGAGAGAGAGAGAGAGAAACATCGATGTGAAAGGGACACATCGAGTGGCTGCCACCCACACGACCAACCAGGTCCGGGGACAAACTGCAACCGAGGTACATGCCCTTAGCGGGAACCGAACCTGGGTCTCCGGACCGCAGGCCAACGCTCTAACCGCAGAGCCAAACTGGCCAGGGCAACAATAAAGATTTTTAAAAAATAAAAAAAAATAAAAGTGTTTGGCATGATAAAAAAAAAATGCGTTTGCTATACCAGCTTTCACTTTTCCTAATGCTGCCATGTTAGTAGTGTAATGTTTGCTTTCTGGTCTCACTTGTCAAACTCAGCTACACGGAGCTACTATAGAGAAATGGAGTAATTATGTCATGAGTCTCTAATATAAAATGATTTATTTTCCTGGGGAAGGTATTAAGAAATACAAATTGGGTGTTAGACTGAGGAACCTCAATGGGAAGGGGGGTGGGGGCTTGGGAAGAGATAAACTAAAGAATTTACATGTATATATGCATAACCAAAGGACACATACGATCGTGTGTGGGAAGGCAGGAGGGGTGCAGGAGCAGGGAGGAGGGGGTCAATAGGGAAAAAGGGGGGACCTCCGTAATACATTCATCAATAAAGATACGTTTTTAAAAAATGATTTATTTTCCAGTTTTGTTTTCCAGAAAGCAAAACAAAACCAGGTCGGCACAGTTGTGCTGCAATGAGGCAAGCAAGCTGAAGAACTGAGACAAAGCATCCTAATGGGAAGGAAACAGGCGTGGAAATATCTAGAAGTCCTTGGCTGAGATGTGGCTGCGGTTCCCGCCTCAGTCGGGTTGGCACCTGCAACCAGGATTGGTCCAGGGCGACCGGGGGTCCAGCGGGACCTCAGTGCCCGGGTCTGTGGAGGTGGCTGGGAGGGGGTCACCGGTGCAGCCCTGGGCGCTTTCTGAGCCTGGGGCCGGCGCGGGGTCAGCGCGGGGTCGGCGCGGGGCCGGGGCGGGGCCGGGGCGGGGCCGGGGCGGGGCCGGCTCCCTGCGAGGGGCGTGTCCTCGCCTGGCCCCGCCCCAAGGCCGGCCGGCGAACGTGGGGGCGCGTCGCGGGGCGCGCGGAGGCCGCGGGGAGATCAGTGTGCGGGCGCGGAGGGGGCCTGCGGCTGGGCGCTGTCGGGCCGGCGGAGCGCGTCGCCGCGGCTGGAAGCAGGGCGCGCCAGGCTGTCCCGGGAATGCGTTCGCTCGGCACCAACATGGCTGCGGCCTTGCGAACTGCGGGCGTCCTGCTCCGCGAGCGGAGTAAGTGGGCGGGCGCGGCAGCCGCGACGCCGGGGTCCCCCCGGGGGGCTTCCGGGACCCCGGCCGACTGTGCGGGGGGGCGAGGGGCGGAGAAGGGGGTGGAAGGGACCCTCCCCTGGCAGGGTCGAGAGTGGGTGCGTGGGTCACCTAAGGCCTCTAGGAGGCTGTGGAGGGGCTGGAGTCCTGCCCGGCAGCTGGAGGCGGTCGGCAGTCAGCAGTGGCAGAATTTCTCAGAGTCTTAGTTACTTTTTAAAAATATTATGTTAGACCCTTGTAACATTCAACACTTGTTTATTTATTTTTTAAATCCTCATCCGAGGATACTTTTTCCATTGATTTTAGAGAGAGGGGGAGGGTGAGAGGGAGAGACATCAGCGTGAGAGAGACATATCCACAGGCTGCCTGCCCACGTGCACCCCAGGACTGAACCTGCCAGGGGCCTTTTGGTGCACCCATGATTCTCAACCAAGTGAGCCGCACTGGGCTGGGCCCAAGTTTTAGTTGTTATCTGTAAAGTTGATTAAGGACAGGGACAGGATTGTTGTGAGGATTAGGGAGGACCGTGTGTTAAGGGCCTGCCATAGGGGAGGACTGTAATGAAGACATTTTCCGTGGAGCTCAAAGGAGTCAGGAGGCTTTGGCTAGAGATACATGACAAAGATTTATTTAAGGATTTTAGTTTGCAAGGGGCAAACACCACTAGGTAATGCCCAGAGTAAGGAGAAAGAAAAGTTTGAGTTTTATGATAAGAAGCACCTGTTTGAAAAAAATGCAGTCCTGCATTCTTAGCCATCGGATTGGCTCAAGATGGTAATCTTCCAGATGTCCAGTGCTCTGAATAATGGAACATTTTCTTCTTGAGGTTATTCAGATGGTTCACTGAAGGTTTGATGTACGTCTAGACATTGATGCATAAGAGACTAATGTATATTCAGGTATTGACAGAGGATTCAAAAGTTCATATATTTAAATTCCTGGGCTAGTTAAGGCAAGGATAGAATTGTTTCTTTATGCCTCAGCTTACTTTCTCTTAATAATTTAGCAGCTTGACCCTAGTGATTCCATTTTATTTCTTCACTGTACAGTATTCTTCAGCATCATCATGGGCATCTACTCCTGGCTTCCCACCCTTGTGATGGAGGGAAAATGTGCCCACTGCTTCTCTGCTCTAGCCCCTGGCATCATCTGGTGCTCACTTGTCCTTGGCAGCAGGACCCACTAGCCTGCACCAGTGATTCTTAGAGCTATTTGGAGAACAAATATGACCCATGGACAACCCCACACATTTCTGATGCAGACCCTGGATGCAGATTGTGTCTACAGGATAAGTGGACTGGACTCTGGTTCAGACATACTTGGTTGGGATAGTAGCTCTGCACTATTTTTTTTTTTTATCCTCACTCGAGGACATTTTTCCATTTTTTTTGTTCAGATAGAGTGGGAGGGAGAGAGAGGAAGAGAGAGAGAGAGAAACATCGACGTTAAAGGGACACATCAAGTGGCTGCCTCCTGTACGACCCAACCAGGGCTAGGGACAAACTGCAACCAAGGTATGTGCCCATAGCGGAAACCGAACCCAGGTCTCTCTGGACCACAGGCCGACACTCTAACCACTGAGCCAAACCAGCCAGGGCTGAACTGTTGTTTTTATTTTTTTCATTTTTTGTTCAGATAGAGTGGGAGGGAGAGAGAGGAAGGGAGAGAGAGAAATATCGACGTGAAAGGGACACATCGAGTGGTTGCCACCCGCACGACCCAACCAGGGCGCTTTAACTGCTGAGCCAAACCAGCCAGGGCAGGGCTGCACTGTTCTTAACTGTGACCCCTTGAGCAAGACACTCAACCTGGCTTGAGTCTTGGTAAACATGAAAGGAATAAGGTAGTATTTCAGAGGCTTGCCATGAAGATCAGCTGGATATAGGTAAAACCTGTAGCAATAGTGTCTAGCATGCATTCAATACATCGAGGCCTTCAAAATGTTCAGTTATGGCCCTGGCCGGTTTGGCTCAGCGGTTAGAGCATTGGCCTGCAGTCTGGAGAGACCCGGGTTCGGTTCCCGCTAAGGGCGCGTACCTTGGTTGCAGTTTGTCCCTGGCCCTGGTTGGGTCGTGCAGGTGGCGGCCACTCGAGGTGTCCCTTTCACGTCGATGTTTCTCTCTCTCTCTCTCCCTCCCACTCTATCTGAACAAAATATCGAAAAATGTCCTTGGGTGAGGATAAAAAAAAAAAAGTTCAGTTATGTAAAAGGCTGCAGTATACTAATGTGCTTAATTAATGCATTGGAACGATGACTGGACACAGAGCTGACTACTTTTTCTAAGAAATTTCCTAACCCATCAGCATCTACCGAGAGGGAATGGAGAGAACCCACTCAGAACCTCCATATCTTATTACAGGTGTCTTTATTAGGAAAATAATAAGGGCTCAGAGGACAGTGAGGATCAGGTCACTCAGGCCACTAGGAGACAAAAGGCATGATCTTTTTAAGAAGAGGAAGCACAGTGGCAGTAATGGGGCCTAAAGAAGTAGCAAATAAATCTTTCCTTTCATTGACCTTTCCTGTCGCAATTAAATTCTGACAGGCTCTAGATTTGAGGTCACAGAACAGTATGTGAGAAACTTTAAATGATTTGTTGTTCAGGTTATAAGTAACTAAGTGGCCGGATTCTGAAACCATAACAAGTACATTTGACATCCAGTTGTATTATGGACTCTGATTTTTAAGATGTGGTTATAACCTTTGAGTCATCTTGTTTCACGTGAAGGGATTAACATTATCTGGGTTAGAAAAAATTGAGTAGTATTTCTGAAATGGATTCTGAAAGTAAGAATGGAAAAGCAAAGTTTTACATTCTGTTTTTAGCATATGGCTCCCTGGGATGTATCAGGTACACACACACACACACACACACAATTAGAAAGTTGGTAGAATAATGAATTATTGTTTTTCTTTGTGACTGTTTCTCCTTTTTATTTTAATCCTCACCTGAGGATATTTTCCCACTGACTTTTAGAGAGAGTGGAAGGGAGGGAGGGAAGGGAGAGAGAGAGAGAGAAACATTGATGTGAGAAAGACACATGGGTTGGTTGTCTCCTGCACGACCCCGTCCAGGACCAGACCTGCAACCCAGGTATGTGCCGTTGACCAGGAATTGAACTCGAAACCCTTCAGTCTGAGGGCTGACACTCTAAATGAGCCAGACCAGTCAGGGCCTTTGTGACCTTTTCTTTCCAAATTTTCTACATAAGCATCTATGTTTTTCATAATTAGAAAATAAATTCTAGAACAATAGAGTATCAGTGTTTAATGACATTATACCATTTTGGCTCCATACCAGAAAATAATTTGTTTCTTAAGCTTCCCCTCCCCAAGTGCTTATTAATAGTCACAATATTAGAACCTTATTTCTGTTAGTTATTTAAATGACACATTTCTTTTTTTATTAAAAGAAGGTGTCATTTATACAATATACACAAATATACCCATTAAAAATGAGAATATGGATATATATATTTTTTACTTCTTTATTAATTTATTTTTGTTACAGATGTTTCTCCTTTTTCCCCCATTGACACCCTCCTCCTGATCCCACCTTTCCCCTAAATGGCACATTTTTATAAGTACTTTTTGAAATAATCCTCTCCTATGTGGTAGAAAAGGACTTGGTTATATAATTAAGTACTTGTGTACGTTGCTTTTTCTACCCTCTTCTGCCCCACCCTAAGCAAAATATTGAATAATTTGGTTTTGGAGAACCAGTTGATAGCCATGAACTCCTTAAATCACAGGTATACTTTTTTTTTTTTTAAGTCATAGGTATACTCTTTTTTTTCCTCTTTATTGATTTTGGAGAGAGAGGAAGGGAGAGGGAGAGAGAGAGAGAAACATTGATAAGAGAGAACACTGATTGGTTGCCTCCTGTGTGCCCCCCACTGGGGATTAGGCCCACAAACTGGGCCTGTGCCCTGGCCAGGAATTGAACTGATGACCTCTTGATGCATGGGTCGATGCTCAACCACTGAGCCACCCTGGCCAGGCATAAATCACAGGTACACTTTTGAATGCTTTACCTATTGAGTTTGTCCAGGAGTTAGGAAGTTTTGTTTTCTTCTCTTCTCTTCTGCACATCCCTCAGTTTTATACCTTTTATTGTTTGTAGGTCTTCCAAAGGTAGACCAGTTGTCCATATCAGGAGTAGAATTACCTAATTTTAGTTCACAAGTGGGCAAGTACCTAATACTGAGTACAGCAGGACCTCAAATAACGTTTTGTCCAACAACATTCTGTGATAACACTGATGAAATGCCTTAGGAACTTAACTCTTGTTTACATCAGTTAGCCTGTGGTAAAACTGGTTTCATTATATGGTTGTTTTACTTAAAGTCATAGAAACTATTGATGACATTAAGTAAGGACTTCCTGTGCTCTTACGTCTTGCTTAACCACGTGCAGTGTGCCCAGTACTGCTCTTGGAGCTGGACGTAGAATTTTTTTCCTAATCTTCGTAACAGCTTTGCATGATTTACCTTATCACCATTTTACAGATGAGAAAAGGGAGACTTGGAGTAGTTCGGTGAGTTGCCCAAGCACTGCCACGCAGCTTGGTGGTCCTGTTAGGGATTTCTCCTCAGATCTGTCTGGCTCCAGAACACGTGCTGTCTGTACCTCACAGTGCTGTCTGTGCCTTTGGATTGCTCTACAGCTGTGAGCTCAGTCTATTCAGGGATCTCAGTTGGTATTTCAAATGATCACTTTAAACTTTTTTTTTTTCTTTTTAAACTTATCTTTATTGTTGAATGTATTACAGCTGTCCCTCCTTTTTCCCCCCTTGACCTCCACTGCCACCCCCTTCCTACACTATTGACTGTGTCTTTTGGTTATGTATATATGCATAGAAGTTCTTTGTTTTCTCTCTTCCCTCCCCACCTCCCTTCTTCCCTTTGAGGTTCCTCATTCTAACAACCAATTTGTACTTCTTAATCCTTTCATGGTTTTCACCCTTCCCCCAACCCCCCTCCCATCTGGCAGCCAACAAAAAGTTCTCTGTATTTATGAGTCTTTTTCTGTTCTGCTTGCTCATTTTGTTTGTAGATTCAATTGTTGATAGATATGTATTTATTGCCATTTTATTGTTCATATTTTTTTATCTTCTTCAAGAAAACCCTTCAACATTTCATATAATATGGGTTTGGTGGTGTTGAACTCCTTTAGTTTTTTCTTGTCTGGGAAACTCTTTATATGTCCATTGATTCTAAATGATACCTTTTCAGGATAGAGTAATCTTGGTTGTAGGTCCTTCCTTTTCATCATTTTAAATATTTCTTGCCACTCCCTTCTGGCCTGCAAGGTTTCTTTTGAGAAATTGGCTGACAGCCTTATGGGAGCTCCTACATTGTAGGTAACTAACTGCTTTTCTCTTGCTGCTTTAAAGATTGTCTCTTTGTCTTTAACCTTTTACATGTTGATGATGATGTGTCTTGATGTGGACCTCTTTGGGTTAATCTTGGTTGGGACTCTCTGTGCTTTCTGGACTCATATGTCTGTTTTCTTCACCAAGTTAGGGAAGTTTTCTGTCATTATTGTTTCAAATAGATTTTCCATTTCTAGTCCTCTCTCTTCTCCTTCTGGAACTCCCATGATGCGAATGTTGGTATGCTTGAAGTTGTCTCACAGGCTCCTTATACTATCCTCATTTTTTTGGATTCTTTTTTTTTGCTGTTCTGATTGGGTGTTTTTTGCTTCCTTATATTCCAAATCGATGGTTTGCTTCTTGGGTTCATCTACTCTACTATTGATTCCCTATAAATTATTCTTTATTTCAGTTAGTGCCTCCTTAATTTCCGACTGGCCCTTTCTTCTGCTCTTGAGGCCCTCACTAAGTTCACTGAGCTTCCTTATAAGCAGTGTTTTGAACTCTTCATCTGTTAGATTGCCTATCTTTATTTTGTTTAGTTCTTTTCCTGGAGTTTTGTTCTGTTCTCTCATTTGGGACATGTTTCTTTGTCTCCTCATTTGGTTGCCTCTCTGTGACTGTTTCTATGTATTAGATAGAGTTGCTATGTTTCCTAGTCTTCCTAGGGTAGCCTGTTATAGTAGGTGTCCTATAAGGTCCAGTGGCATAGCCTCCCTGGTCACTCACTGGGCCCTTGAGGTGCACCTCTCATGTGAACTGTACACCCTTCTGTTATAATTGAGTCTTGATTGCTGTTAGCACATCAATGGGAGGGTTTTACTCAGGCTGAGCAGCTGCAAGGACTGGCTGTGCCCACTGCCCACTGGCCTCTGACTACCTTGGATGATCAGCTGTGTAGGGGCCCACCACACAGAGCAAGACTTACTTCAGCAGGGCTCTGGCACCCACTGAGTTCATTCCTTGAGTGTATCACTTGTGGAGGTGGTTGGGTGGTATGCTTCGATGTAGTGTGAAGCTGTCCACCAGGTGTGCTGGCTCTGGGGCAAGGTCAGCTTGTGGTTTACCCGGGGCCACAAGGCATAAGCTACAAAGCAGTCTACAGATGGCTGCTTTTTGTGCTGGGCTTGGAAGTACCCAGGCAGAACCAAGACTGGCTGCTTCTAGTGCCAGACCTGGGGCCACTTAGCGAGAGGTATGGGGCTCGCTGTGGCCAGAAATGCTGCTTGTTTGAGAGAATTAAGAAAAGTCTGAAGCAGGAGTCAAAACAGGCCATTTCCTTGGTAAAGCCACTAGAACAGCTTGGGTGGGTCCAAAAGCTGGGTGGGGCAGGGCCTCAGGGAATCACCAGGGTGGGGCAAACAGTGTGAGCCAGGTTGCTGGAGTCCCAGATATGCTGCCCCTCTGCGGGCCTCGTGGGGGAGGGGCTCACCAAAAGAACAAAAGCCTCTGCCAGCATGTTTGTCCAGGAGAAAACTGCCTCTCCAGCCCTCGCCCTGATGCCAAACAGCTCAGTTCTTCTCTGTATGTCTCTGGTGCCTTTCAAGCTGCCTCCCCTCTGTGCTGGAGCTCAGCAGGAGCGAGTCTGAGTAAATCCATGCGAGGGCCCTTTAAGCGGAGCTGCCAGGGACTCTCTCAGCCTCAGTTCCCACTGGTTTTACAGCCAGAAGTGATGGGGACTTCTCTTCCTGGCACTGGAACCCTGAGCTGGGTGCCTGGTGTGGGATGGGACCCCTCATTCCCCAGGGAGGACCTTCCCAGCCAAGGTGTCCCTCCTGATTTTTATCTGCCACACGTGGGTGTGGGGCCTGCCCATCTGCCTCTGCCCCTGCCCCCGCCCCTCCTACCAGTCTCCATGTGGCTTCTTCTTTAATTCCATAGATGTAAGACTTTCAGTCATCTTGCTTTTGGGTGGTTTTGAAGGGTGTTTGTTCTGTAGTGTAGTTGTAATTTTGATGTGGTTGTGGGAGGAGGAGATACCGTGTTTTCCTATCCCGCCATCTTACCCGGAAGTAGCACCTTAAACTCTTTTCGCTAGATGATCTTTTGGTAGGAGACGTTGTTTCTCTAGAACCTTCAGAATGTTAGGGGAAGAGGTGTGTTTTAGAGAAGTCTTTGGGAGTTGGGTGTCTTAACTCTTAAGTTCTGAGAAGACAGGATCCATGATTAATAACATCTCCCTCCTATGAGAATTTGTTCAATCACAGACAGGAATTTTGTAAGCAGAGGGTATTATAACAGTTTGGCAGCTTGAATAGCTCCCAAATTGTTCTAGGTACTAGTTGGAGGGTCTTGTCGCACCCCTACCCCTTTTTAAGGTTCACAGGAGGAAACTTTATTTTATTACCAGCAGTCATATTATGGGATGCCCAAGTTCTGTTCTTGTACTCCATGGAATCTGATATAATCTCATTCATGTAAGGAATTGCAGACATTATGGCATGATTAATAATCTGGTTAAATCTCATAATGCAGTTTGGAATTGAACATGTCTAAAATAAAGAGATGTGGCTTTATATGAGACTTCATTTGAGCCGAATTGAACTTCCTTATGTCAGTCTTTGCGCTTCCACTTTGAGTTAGTAAGAATTATTCAGCACAAGCTCATGTAATTGGCTCTGTTGGGAATGGGCACAATCTGGATAGCTGGAACTTGAAGTAGCCTGGAGATACCATTCTCCTGTATTTTATAGACATTCTTGGTGATAAAAATCAGCAGGTGTTGTCCGTAAGCTCTGGACACTTACAAATGCATCTAATGCCAGCATTAATCCTGTGTGGCAGACCCTGTGCAGAACGCTTCACTGATCTTATTTGCTATAATCCTCGCAAGGGTCCTGATAGAGTGTCTTCATTTTACACCTGGGGAAACTAAGGCTCAGAAATATTATAACCCAACCGCAGTCACATTACTAATAAGTAGCAGAACTGGATTCAGAGTCAGATCTGCTGGTCCCCAGCCCGAGTTCCTTACCAGGACACCTATGACTCGTAAATAGGAGGAGGAGGAGAGAGACTGATCTCAAGCTGGTTTCAAATTTGTTGGTTTGAGAATGCAGAAGGGAGGTCATGTGTCCAGGGTGGGGCTACAGCTGAGCATGGCCCATGGGCTCCTCAATTCAGGTGGGTTCTCTAGGCCCATCACTAACTCTTGTGGGGCCCAGGATAAGAGTACAAATGGAGAACCGTATATCGTGTGGGACAGCGAGCTAACAAACTGTGACATGTATTCTATTTTTCTACACTGATAAATAAACCTTCATAATGACCTGGAAGGGTAAACTCTCAAACTCTTCAGAGTTCCTGCAGAAATGTGGAGGCTTGAGGGACTTGCCATCGGCCTGCAGGCCTCCCTGCCTTTCCCCCTGCCAACTCTGGCCTGCACGGTGAGAGGTGTATGCATACACATGTGTGCACTCTCCAGCTTGTATGTTCAAGCTCCATTCTTGCCCTTGCAAACAGGCACTTGTTAGGTACCTTCTGGGTCAAGAATTGCTTACATTGATGCCATGATCAGCCCTCAGGAGGATGGACCCAGAAAAGAGGACTGTGCAGATCCTGGAAGTGGGTGTGGGGCTTTGGAGGCAGAGCATTCTTGGGTCCTGGGACCCTGATCAGGAATGTGGGGTTTGGACTTGTGGGTCCATGAGTCCTTGGTCATGCAGACTCCATACCCCGTGAGGTGGGGTGCAGCAGGGGGAGCACCAGAGTGGGCCCTGTAAAGCAGAAGACCACCTTGCCAGGGTCCACGGGCACTACTGAGGTTCTCAGCACGGGTGCTTGGTTGGAGAAGGCTTACAGGGAGATATGAGATCTGGGCACCTGGTGGAGAACTGGCCCAGCTTCCACTTCTTCAGCAGTGGCTCTTACCCTTTTCTGCAGGCTTCTCACCTTTCATATGAGCAGCATGCTGTCCTCAGTATCTTTCATAAGGCACAGTGATTCTTGTGAGGCGTCCTGTCGAATCTGTGGCAAGGCAGGGAGAGGAGGTGTGTGGTTTATAAAAAGGCTCTGTGCAGGTCCTGATAAGCCATCATAGGAGGTGCCAGCACACCCCCTTGGAGAGGCTTTTAAGTGCCTTCACCCTCCTGCAGAGAAATGGGGGTGGGGATCATCTCTACTATAGCATCTCTTTAAATTTTAAATCTAGGAATTATGCTCTGAGGACCACTTCAAAAGAAATTACTTCCCAGCTAGATTTCATGCTACCACTTTAATTTTGTCACAGTGGTGCCTGGCAGCTCAAGGGCCCATCAGCCATGGAGGTGCCAGTCGGATGCAGCAGCTGGAGCGGCAGCCGCCACAGAAACAGCCCAACGTGCCAGAAGCCCCAAACCTCAAGTTCAACCAGGGAAGAGGTATGAGTCCAATTTCAGGTACTAATAAGGATTTCTCTTTACTGATGCAAACACCAGTGGATACAAGCTACCCAGGAGGGAACATGCTGGGAAAACCCAGTATATAAGGAGCAGGATGTTATTTTCTTGGCTTCCTTTCTTTTAAAAAAAATTTTTTTTTTCCTTTGATTTTAGAGAGAGAGGAAGTGAGAGGGAAAGAGAAATAGAAACATCGATGAGAGAGAACATCGATGGGCTGCCTTCTGCATGCCCTCTACCAGGGATTTGGCCCACAATCTGGGCATGTGTCCTGACCAGGAATCGAACCGGCGACGTTTTGGTGCATGGGTGGACGCTCAACCACTGAGCCACATCAGCTGGACTATTAGCTTCCTTTCAGTATCTGTTAAACTATTAAATAAATTTCATCTCCACCCCCAACCCCTCTTAGGGCTTAAACATTTAAAAAATTTTTTTACAGATTTTTAAATCATTTATTAATTTATTTTCCATCTTTGTTGAGGTATAATTGACAAATATAAAAATCCCACAAGGCTTTTGTTAAAGGACTCAGAGTTGAGTATAAGCAGCCTGCAAATCATGTAGGAATTTATTTCTGGAATATATCACATAACACAAATTATATGTATACCGGAAATGTATTTATGAACCTAACATAATTATACCTATGAAATGTATGTTCTGTTTAGGATAAAGAATAACTAATCTACCAAGAATGTCTGCAGTGAACTCGACCATTGTTTTTCATCTGTTAACACAGTGATCATAATTGTAAATGACATAATAGGATTTATAATTTATTAAAGAAATAAAGTACATGTTTCATTCTTCACCTCTGCTGTTTGCCGGGGGACGTCAGCAGGCGTGGCCTTCTCGCTGGGTATCCTCTTTCATGACGGAAACCACAGCTATTCTCAAGTCTTTCTCTGGTGCAGAGACAACGAAGACTACAGACAATTATTTGAATAAGTACATAGAACACCACACTTACGCACCAAGCACAGTGAAAGAAAGTAGTGCTGAACGATGTAACCCCTTGATCTTTGTAGTAGACCAGATGTTCTAGGAAAGTTATACAGCTATGAAAATATAATAGTCTTATTTTGTGTTTGTTATTTTTCTTTTTTAAATTGATTTTTTAGAGAGAGAGAGGAAGGGAGAGGGAGAGAGAAAGAAACATCAGTGTGCGAGAGCTAAACATGGATTGGCTGTCTCTTCCTACTGGGGATCGAACCTGCAACCTGGGCATGTGCCATGACCTGGACTCAAACTGGCAACTTCTTGGTGCACCGGACAATGTCTAACCAAGTGAGCCACACTGGCAAAGCATGTTTGTTATTTTTCATTATGTGACCAGGGGTACATTGATTGAGTACTAAGTAAACTGAGGTTTGCAGAGGATAGGGCATTAGGGGTGGGGCTCCAGATCATCTCCTTTCAACTCTCTGGCTTCCTAAAGATTGAATCTGGTGAGGAGAGCAGGAAGCACAGACACTCTCCATTCTGGGGTGCTGAGCAGGGTGCCATTCTGCCTGGACACCCAGGGCCCCTCTTCTCACCTTAGCCACAGTATAGGGTGCTCTAAGTTCTTAGGATGCTTGGTGTAACCTGAAGAATTGATTCGATGTGGAACCTTGGAAAAAAAATTATTTCACTATTATTTCAGTGGCAAAAGTCAATATAAATAGCTTTAATAGTAAATTATTAATGTTTAATAAAATAAAAATATAGGAATTCTATTAAATTACTTTATTTATTTATTTTTTTTATCCTCACCCGAGGACATTTTTCCACTTTTTGTTCAGATAGAGCGGGAGGGAGAGAGAGGAAGAGAGAGAGAGAGAAACATCGATGTGAAGGGACACATCGAGTGGCTGCCACCCGCACGACCAACCAGGGCCGGGGACAAACTGCAACCGAGATACGTGCCCTTAGCGGGAACCAAACCCAGGTCTCTCTGTACCGCAGGCCGACGCTCCAACCGCTGAGCCAAACCGGCCAGGGCTATTAAATTACTTTATATTATATTTATACAAAAGAAATAAAGCAGTTGGTGTGGTTCAGTTGGTTGAGCGTTGTCCCATGCACCATGAGGTTGCTGGTTCAATTCCCAGTCAGGTCACATACTCAGGTTGCGGGCTCAATCCCTGGTAGGGGGCATGCAGGAGGTGGCTGATGGATGTTTCTCTCACATCCATGTTTCTAGCTCTCACTTTCTTTCCCTTCCTCTCTCTGAAATCAATACAAACATAGTGAAAAGAAAAAAAAAAAAGAATGAGTTCATTTTTATTTTAGGAAATACAGTACAGACAGGCAAAAAATAGATATATATTAAACCAGTGATGATCTCACCATCCAGTATTTTGACTCCATATCTGTATCTATTAATATTCACTCAGTGTATATTTACCAAAATGTAACAATACTGTACACATTAGTTTTATAGCTTCCTCTTTATTTAATAGTATATCACCACATAAATATAAACATTCTAAATTATTTTTGTAAGGGTATTAAATCATAATTTATTTTATCTGGTCCCATATTATGGGGCATGTAGGTTATTTCTAGTTTTTAGATATGAGACATGATGAAGTAACAAGTGTCTTTGTGAATCTTCTGATGGTACACATTGGAAGGCATTGTGCTGCTTGGTGCTTGGCCTAGACTAGACTAGACAATACTAGACTAACACTCTGCTAGACCAGGAGTCAGCGAACCTGCCTGTAAAGGGCTAGAGAGTAAATATTTTAGGCTTTGTGGGTCATTAAATTTCTTTGGTTGCTATTCAACTCTGCTGTTGTCATGTGAGAGCAGCCGTAGATAATATGTATAAATGAGCTGCGTTCCAATAAAACTGTATTTAAAAAACAAGTTATGGAGGGCAGTTTGGAAATTTGATGCATGGATTATAGTTTGCTAAACCCTGTTCTAGAGGCAGCATAGACCCTCAGGCCAGTTACATCTGGTAGGTTGACTGTATACAGTAGAATAGAATTTTACTTATTAATTGATGAGCTAAGTTTCTGTGAAGTGCCATTAATAGTTCAAAGGAAGAACCTCATATTTTGAGAGTCTCAGAATAGAAAAATGGCAAAACGTTGACACCTTTTCAAGTGAGAAGTTTTAAATATGTTATGCTGCATACTCTTTAACATTTAACAAAAGGAACTTGCTATTCAGACCTTGGTCTCAGATGTGCTGTCTGGATGGGCAGAGAGATAGAGACCCTCAACTAAAGCTTTGTACTTCACATTCTGGAAAAGAGGGATGTGGGACCAGTGCTTACTAATGCATCATTTGTCATGCACAACACAGTTTTGAATTAAGTGCATGCATAGTAGGTATTTCCAAATCGTGTGCATCGCTTTCGTGTGTAAGAGCAACATGCTTTGCAAAACATGGGTTTGCAGGGCAGGGTATGTCCCATTTAAAGCAACTCTCGTTCTGAGCTCAGGTGTAGATGAAAAACAGTTCTAAATCCCGTTTGCACATTGATGCCCTCCGTGGCTTAGGTAAGTCTCTTAGCCTGGGGTTTCTTAACCACTAATCTTTTAACTGGCAGCAATCCATGGAAAAATGCACTTAATTTATTGTGAGTCACAGATTTTGAAAGTGAAAGACAGTATCCCAGGAGAACACTGGTGGTCTAAGTAGAAAGATTAGGGGAATATTACAGTTTCACAATTTAATGAATCTGGAAATTTCAGGTATCAAGAAAAGAAAACTAAACACGTTTGTTAATTCATTGATAGGACTTCTGGTCAGAGGAGGTGGAAAAGTTATAGAACAATGACATCTTCGGTGTAGTTGTGTGGTTTAATAAAAAGGAGATTAAACCTCCTTCAACCGAGGGTGGGGAGCATTTTGCCATGTCACATTTGATTGTCACACCTGGGATGGGGTATGTGCTTCTGCCATTTTGTAAGTAGAGGCCAGGGATGCTACTAAACTGCTACAATGCATAAGACAGCCCTCCACAACCAAGGATCATCCAGCCCAAAATGTCAGTGGTGCCGAGTCTGAGAAACCCTGGTCTAAGACAATGAGGTGAAAAGTGAGTTTAGTGAATCTTTATAATGGGGTCTAAATGAGAAAGTCCCTGTCTTCATTGTAATGCAGCCTTTTCCTTTTCCCAGGAATTGGTTCTGATTTTGAAAATTTAGGCTGTGAATTTAGATTTCTACCTCATTCACCTAGAGTATGCTTGATCAAGAAAACAGTTTCCACACCTATTTGACATACTGCTGTCTACCATCGCCAAATGTTAACAATTGCATATAAAATATCATCATAATATCATTAGCTTTAGAGCATATTGAGAATAGTCTTCCAAATGAGAGCCCTCAGCAGGATTGGTTTAATCCCTGTGTTCACTAACAGAGGTCTTGACTTAGGAGATTTAGATGGTGCATTCGTAATGACAGTGTTTTAGATAAACCTCAGACTAGTTATTTCTCAGCTGCTTTATCAAGAGTTACTGGAGTGTATATTCCCACAATGGAATATTATTCAGCCATGAAAGGAAAGAAGTACCTGGTTGATGCTACAACTTAGATGAATCTTGAAAATTTTATGCTAAGTGAAAGAAGGCAGACACAAAAGGCCATATGCTATATGATTCTGTTCCCATGAAATGTCCTAAATAGGCAAACCCATAGACCCAGAAAGTGGATTGGTGGTTGCCAGGCATGAGGGGAAGGAAAATGGGAGCAGCTCTAATGGGTACAAGGTTTCTTTTTTGGGTAATAAAATGTTCGGGAATTAGATACTTGTGATGGTCCCATAACCTGGTAAATATATTAAATGCCACTGAATTGTACAGTTTAAAATGGTGAATTTTGTAGTATGTGAATTATATCTAAATTTTTTTAAATGAGAAAAAAGGAATGGAAGATACACTCCTATGTTTCCCTTAATTACCCACCTGCAACTCCTTTGCTCCCCTCCCCCCACCCCCTCCCCCACTTCCTTTGCTCTCCCCACACTATTTTCTGTGTTCATGGGCTATGCATGTAGGCGCTTAGCTAATCCTACCTGCAGACTCTTATACTGTCATCACATGGCTACCTGTTCATGGGGACACACAGGCCTCCAGGCCATGGTCCTGCCTCAGGCTCTGACCTCAGAGTTTCCAGTCTCTGGTCATGGTCTTCTGGAGGCTCCCAGAAGCCTTTGGGAGGCAATGGCCCTGTTCTGGCTCCATCTTACCCCTGGCAGGTTTGGGAATAGAGAATTCTTTCTGGCCTGGCTCACTCGGACTGTGTAGGCTCCAGACTTGCTCTGGATTTTAGAAGTTTACATTTTTTCATAGGCCTTTGGTTTTTTTGATTTCTCAGATGCTGTTTGACCTAAAACTTTTATCAACAGATTTTTTTCCCCTGCTACTGCTTGCTCATTCCGTGATTGATTCGTTAGCCTGGAACTGATCTGAATAAGTTAGACAGTTCCTCACAGGAATTACCTAACGGAGTAAAAATAGGTGCTGGAGAAAGAAGCAGGGTAGCAAGAAATAATTTAAATCAGTAATAATTTAATTTAATAATTCATTAAAGAGAAGGTATCAGAGTAAGACATGGGTATACAATTGTATGGAAACCCAAGGCTTCTCTGTGTATAATAGAACTTTCTGTGTGCACCAATCATGCTAAGTGACTAAGTACATTATCTATTTAATTCTCAAAACAACCTTTTGAGGCAGGTGGTAGTCTGTCTATTTTACAGATGAGGAAACTGACATTTGGAGTGGTCAAGAGTCCTGTGTATTCATAAGACATTCACATGAAGAGGTGCTTCTGCCTCAGGACAAGTTTAGGCCTATACCTTGATTCTCAGTACCCCAAGAATGGGATCTTTGTTCAGTGCTGACAGTTTAATGGAGAAACATTTTGAGCCCAGGGAAGACCAGTACCAAGGACGGAGCTTCTCAGTGAAGGTCAGAGTCTGAGCTGGGACCACACGGACCTGGAGGCCTTGTGCATTCCCTCACAGGTCGCCATGGGATGGCAGTGAACAGATTAGGTGAGAGTTTGCTAGCGGAACCAAGAGTCCACCATAGAGGAAAATAAAAAGTGGTACAAATCAACTGTTGCATTTTCTTATGTAGGAAGCCGAAAACTGGAATACTAATGTTAAACATGGGAGGCCCTGAAACCCTTGGAGATGTTCACGACTTCCTTTTGAGGCTTTTCTTGGACCAAGACCTGATGACACTTCCTATTCAAAAGTAAGTTACCTATGAACACCTGTATGTATTTATAACTTGTCCAATGTGTTTTGCCTTACATGTATCTCAGTTCTACAGTTTCAAAAATAAATGGTTTTAATGCATATGTGGTAGTGGCTAGAGCAGCATTATGACTTTGTGTTAGACATGATATTGGCAGACTTGCAGGAGAGAGACAGGAAGTCAGTGAGTATTCTTGAGCCCATTCCTCCCAGGGCTCTAGAGACTGCGTGTCTGACACAGTGAGGTCCCTTTAAAGATCTGTGGAGATGGATTTGGTCTTCACACTGAACAGCTGATTATTCATTTGTGCTGTGAATATAAAATTTATACACATATATAGTAAAAATGCCAATAGTATACAGGTGTTCACAGGAAAAAGCAAGTGTCCGTTTTACCTTGGACTCCAGCCTCCCAGCTACCCACCCCGGAGGTGAGCACTGTTACATTAGAAATAGTTCATGTGTATGCAAGCATATGCATGTGTACGCATATATATCCCCCCTTTTCTTTACACAAATGTCAGTGTAATTATGTATATTATTAAGTATGCAACTATTTTTTTTTTTTCCAAATTTAATGTGTCTTGGAGGTTGTTCTCTAACATTATATAGACCTGGCTCATTTTTTTCATGACTGTAAAGAATTGCATTGTGTGGCTGTGCCTTTATTTAACCAGGGCCTTGTGGATAGACAGTTTGTTTACATTGTTACAATGAATATTTTTGTGCATACACCTTTACTCACATATGTATATCTGTAGGATTAATACACATTTTCTTAAATTAAGAGGATTATATGCTTCTTGATGTTTTATATATCCCAATTTCTGCCAGGTGTAGCATCAAGAGGTATTAAGATTGTAGCTAGCACACACCCAGGGTCTCTACCTGCTTGTTTGGCATCCTGAATCTTCAGGTGCTAGGACACTTGTGGGCCAGAGGTGGCTGTTCCTTCGAGAATGTCTAGTTTTCTCTCTCATCTGGGCCAAGAGAGCTGGCCCTTGTCAGTGACCTCTAGCTTCCGTTTTAAAAGACTTGATCTTGTTAGGCTCTTCTTAAAATTTTCTTTCTTATTGAGTAGAAAGTGTTTCTGAGGTTGCTAAGGTGGAATAAAGTCCACTTACCTACATTTTAAATGATTTAGTAAGCTGGCACCCATCATTGCCAAACGCCGAACCCCCAAAATCCAGGAGCAGTATCGCAGGATTGGAGGTGGATCCCCCATCAAGATGTGGACTTCCAAGCAAGGAGAAGGCATGGTGAAGCTGCTAGATGAGATGTCCCCGCACACAGGTAACATGTTTCTTAATGAACATCTTATTTAGTAGGTATGAAATTTCAAAACACTGCTGGATGCCGAATGCTGCTTTGTGTCCCGGCAGCTCTCGCTTTGTGGAAGTTCTGTGGATGCTCTGTCACTGTGTTCTCCACATCTTCCCCTGTGCTTGGCTGCTCACCTTTCTCTGTTACGTCCTTATGCCCCAGATAGAAAAGTTCAAGCTCGGAACATCAGTTTCAAAAGGCAGTTTGAGGTGTGTGTTAGGTTGAGCTAGATTATGAGAAAGAGACTGCATACCTGGAATAAAAGACGCATATGTCACTGCTCTGGAAAGACCATCTTTGGGGAATGGATCGAGGCTGCAGCTATTGCTGTGCCCTCCGTGGATAGCTGAGTATCAGATCAAGGATCGGAGCCGAGTTAGCTCGCTGTGGCCGCAGCTGTGTGATGGAGCAGCTAGCGGCAGAAGCACTGTCGCGAGGCATCTGCAGGCCTCGTTGGAGGTGGCACGAAGACTGTGCCCTGTCTGGGTGGCTCGGTTGGTTGGAGTGTCATCCCGTGCACTGAAAGGTGGTGGGTTCAGTTCTCAGTCAGGGCACATAGCCAGGTTACGGGTTTGATCCCCGGTCAGGGCATATGCAGGAGGCAACCAATTAGTGTTCTCTCTCATGTTGATGTTTCTCTCTCTCCCTTCTCTCTATAAGATCAAGTAAAAAATAAATAAATAAAAAGAGGATTGCACACCTCTGACAACTGTCCTCTGAAAACCTCTAACGGAATAGTAATGTGCTGAATGAAACACTACACAAATGAACTGTAAGTGCCACATTTAATCACATTCGAGACACCACTGCTGTACAACATATTATTGTTTTTATGTAGTACTGAGACACAAAAAACTGCCAGTTAATTTTATGACAGCATATGTTGTAGGTACAGACAAATACGAGAAATACTAAAACAAAAACGTGCATTTTAGGACACGTGAAATACATTAATTGCAGATACCATTTAGGGCTTCAGGATCAGGAGTGTGACCTTGTGGGGACCTTCAAGGAGAGCGGGGGCTAGGCAGGACCAGCAGCTACGCTCTGAGAAGACAGCGCTAAGCGTCAGCTTGAGCCGCTCTCAGAAGCCGGTTCCCATCGCACACAAATACGGACAAAGGCCGGAGCCCTCAGCAGATCATCTCACTTGGAAAATTGCTCAGTTGTGCTTCTGAATATTAGGTTTGCTTCCTGCCTTTACTTGTGGCTCAAGGGCATTTCTTATACAGTTCAGCCACACATGCCACAGTGTATCTTTTAAAACGTTGGGTGAGGGAAACTTGGCTGACCTCTGCTCACACCTACTTGATAGAGAACTAACTCTAGTCATTAACAGTTTATCATGATAAAAGGTTGAGCATGAATCAGTTCTGCAATTGTCTGCTGTCTTCAGTGGAAAAAGGAGGCGGAAAGAGGGCGTTTTTTTTGGTGTTGCCGTGTTAGTGTTGTGCCCATCACCGTGAAGGGCCCTAGTGGAGCTGGCAGACGTGATAAAGGGATGCAGACGGAGGGCATCCTTCTCACCGCCTCCTCTCTGGTGGGGCTGCTGGGCCGTCCAGGCCAGACAGGCCGGCGGTGGCCTCAGCCTCCCAGGTTGGCCTGAGGGGAGTCTTATGGAATGAGCTGGACTTGACCATGTCCCACTCCCTATCAAACATTTAAATATGTTACTCTCTGATCACTTAAATAGGTGGTCATTTAGCACAAAGAGAGGAAGTTACAAACATCCCAACTGTAGGATTAATTATTCCCTGCTTTGGTAGGGACCTAAACATAATATCCATTTCATATTTTCATAGTCAAATTGTTGAAAGAATCATTTAAAAACAATAAATTATTAAACCTTCCATCTTATAGAGACATATTTAAAAAAGCTCATTATTCGTTAACATTGGAATAAGTTTAGGGTGTCCATGAAGCACCAGTCAGCTCAGTGGCTTGTCTGTCCAGTCAGTAAATTGTTACTAATGTGACAGGAAATTACCTCTTCTCCCTTCTTGTTCCAGTCACTCACCCATTGGATCACTCACTCACCCACGCTTTCATCCATTGAGTCCCACATCCATCCATTCTTTTTCCATCCAACCAACCACCAGATGTCTATAAGCACGGACCACATTTCAGGTATAATGATGAGGGTTAAAGCGGTGAATAAGTCACATCCTTAACATCATGGAGCTGAGTTTCCTGGTCGTTTTCACTGAGGCAGGGAGTATATTCCCTTGAGGGCTATTTTTGTTTTTCTGGCTCTTGGATGCTTGTGCAGGGCCCGGTCTGGGAGGGCTTTGGTACTGAGGACCCTTTGGAATATCATCATGCCCTGTGGCCCACAGTTGGCACCCTCTGAGGCAGGCAAGTGAAGTGATTGCTTTCTCCTGCATGGCAGATGACATCTGATGTTTTCAGCAGTCCTGGTTGAGGGGTGTGGTAGTGGCATTTAATAGGCCCAAGACTGCTCCCTCATTCCTTCATCAGGGGCCCACTGCGTGCCCCGCACTATTTGATGCTCCTGTTCAAAGTTGAAAAGCATGGTGCCTAGTTACAAAAAACTTCCAGCCTAGTGGGGTCTTGCTTCTGCAGACCAGTCCGCTTAAGGGGTAGAGAGGAAATCTTTTGCAGAATTATTGGAGTCATGCTGTACAGAATTTGTATCAAGGCTGGTGATCACATAGTGTGGAATAGGAATCATGGAATAGTCTCAAGGGCTGGAAGCTGCTTTGGGGGAACTTTGCATTGAAGACCAGGAAGATCACCAGATGTGGCTCTGTGACTCCCTCGGGGGCTCGCCCAGATGCCCTGGAAAGAAGTTCCTTGTCCTACTCACCGAGGGGACCTGGGCTCGGCCACGAAGAGCCAGGAACTCCTTGGGTAAGAATAGCAGTCAGGCCCTGGCCAGTTTGGCTCAGCGGTTAGAGCGTCGGCCTGCGGTCCGGAGAGACCCGGGTTCGGTTCCCGCTAAGGGCACGTACTTCGGTTGCAGTTTGTCCCCAGCCCTGGTTGGTCGTGCGGGTGGCAGCCACTCGATGTGTCCCTTTCACATCGATGTTTCTCTCTCTCTCCCCCTTCCTCTCTCTCCCTCCCACTCTATCTGTACAAAAAATGGAAAAATATCCTCGGGTGAGGATAAAAAAAAAAAAAGAATAGCAGTCAGCTCCCTCCCCACTCACTGCATGCTGCGTCTCCTTCTTGCTGTCTGGTTTCTCTGTTTCTCCCTCTCTTCATCTCTTTCTTATTCCTCCTCCCTGCTTATACTTTCTTTCCTACAAAATTATACATTTTACTTTTTTTTTTTTTTTTTATCCTCACCCGAGGACATTTTTCCATTTTTGTTCAGATAGAGCGGGAGGGAGAGAGAGGAAGAGAGAGAGAGAGAAACATCGATGTGAAGGGACACATCGAGTGGCTGCCACCCGCACGACCAACCAGGGCCGGGGACAAACTGCAACCGAGGTACATGCCCTTAGCGGGAACCGAACCCGGGTCTCTCTGGACCACAGGCCGATGCTCTAACCGCTGAGCCAAACCGGCCAGGGCTATACATTTTACTTTTGAACTATGTTTATTTGTTTATTTCTGCTTGGAAAAATTCTCTTTAGGCAAAAAAAGTGTTGATTACAGATAAAAATATTTCATGCTGTGTTTTTTTCAGAGAAGTATTTGTTGCTTGTTAGCCAATATAGAAATTTCGAGACTTGCACTGTCTTTGCCTAGAATTGACTATTAAGGAATACAGTGAGTTATAGGAGGGACTGTAACTGGGAATTGGTTTCATATGAACCATGTTGCACTAATTTAGGGAATACAGAAAGAAATGATGAGAAGTGTAATCATTTAGTGAAAAGTCTATATCTGAAATGCATTTTACACATTATAGTTTAGTTATGGAGATTGTGACTGCTTCCAATGCAGCTCTAAGTAAGTGCTACTCAGTAACATAATTCCATTGTTATTTCAAGGATGCTTGTGGGGAGGAGTGCGGGTTCTTACAGACGAGCCGGCTTCCCCACTCCGGGTGGATGACTTCAGGCCGATTCCTTACCCATTGAGCCTCATCTTGGAAATGGGCATGGTGACAGAACCCAACTCATAGGATCATTGTGAACATTAAATAAGAGAATCCCATAAGGCGTGATGCATGGTCTTTGACAAAAATTCAATAAATGTGTGCTTTCATTATTATTTATCTTGGACGTTGGGTTCATGATCTGATACAAATTAAAAACATTATGCTCTCTGTTCAATCTCACACTTTTTTCTCAAAGAGTCATGTACAAATTAGATGTCTGAACTATTGTACATGCTAAATTAATGAGCTGGAAATTAATGAAGTTTTACTGTTTAAACATCCAGAATTCTCTGTTCCATTTTTTCTTTTTCTAATTTCCACCAAGGTGTGTCCACTGGGCAGCTGCTCTGAGGGTAGACTAGGCTAGGCCAATGAGTCGAGTGTTTTGGTCTTGCTCTGGCAGATGTGATACCCGCCAGATGTGGTGCTGTGAGCATCTAGGACGCTCCTCCCTCTTCCTGTACCTGGGCAGCCAGCTGCAGTGTGAAACCCATCCCAGCAGGAAACCTTAATGAGCACCTGCTATTTCCTCAGGATAATCCCAACCACAGAGAGCAGAGTGCGTTGTCATTTTCTAAGTGTGTGTTTGCAGGCCTTCTTCAGCTGAACAGTTTAGCAAGCCTTATCTGTTCTTTCCAGAGTATTTCAGTCTCTCTCACTTCAAAGTTTGGTCACCACCCTGCCTTTATCTGCGAAGGCAGCCTCACTCCCTCTCTTAGTCTGCAGTATCGAGGAACTCCCATACCCCAGGCATTTAGGCTGCAACATTTCAAGGTGGAGAGAAAATGTGAGAAGGTGTTGGACCCGCATCATCAGGGAATCTTACTCTGTCAATCTGCTATTAGTATGTCTCAGAATAGATGAGAAAGCCAGTGCCACTTCAGCCGCACCTTGGGTCGCCAGCTGTTCCTTAAACATGGATTTGCTGATATTGTGGTTGTTGTCAGTTTTAGGATGAGCCACATAATCTTTGAACAATCAGTCATTTGGAGGGTCATGTCCTCCAGTGGGTTTAATCGCAGTTCACCATATTTTACACAAGAGAACATAATATTGGTGGCTTAGAAGGACAGAAAACTTACACCCATTCCTTCTTCTTTTTATGTGGTCCCCAACCAGAGAATGTCCAATCAGACCATCCTTCCCATGCACAGACATGCTTGTATTTCCTTTCAGTATTCTGCACCTGTTCTTCGTAACATGCTCCATTGATCCATGGTTTCTTGGGTCATGTTATTGAGGAGTGTGTGTGTGTGTGTGTGTGTGTGTGTGTGTGTTTGATAAATGTGTTTGTCTTTTCCTAAATTTAACCTAAATGTTTCTTATGTGGCAATTTGGTGTTATATTCTTAGTTGCAGCCCCTGCTAATGGTTGGACAGTAACATTATCTTGGGGTTTATTTACTATAATTTACTGCTTATATAGTATATTCTCATATCATCCCTGAGTGTAAGTCAGGTGTAATCCTATGAAAAAACAAGGAAATAAGTCTGGGTAACTTTAGGAAACTCTGAATTTCATGATTTTTATGAATGCCTAAGAGTTGTGCAGTTGTAGATGCTTTTAAAATGTAGGGAAAAATGATTCAGGAGGACAAAAGAGATGGAAGAGGGAATTGGTAGGGTCATGGGGGAAGGAACACAAAGGCACAGCTGATGTGGGCCCTTGGGTGCCAAGAACAATTATTTTAAATCCCACTTGGAACCTTCAATTTAAGCATTCTTGTTGAGTGTTTTTCCTGTATTAGAGGAGGAGAGTCATTTCGATCATTTGTTACCAGTAAACTTGTATTTGTATTGAGTGTCCCAGAGCTTTTATATCAACTAGGTGACCTGGGGCCCGAGGGCACAGGAGGAAGAAACTTGGGTGGTGGAAGCGGGTGGGTGGCAGAGAAGGAAGGAACATGGACTGTGGGATGGGCACCCAAGGACATGCTTAGAGAGAAGAAATGAGACAGACAGACAGACATTGATGTGAGAGAGAAACATCCATCAGTTTTCTCCCGTATGTGCTCTGACCGGGGATCGAACCTTCAATCTTTCGGGACACAGAATGATGCTCAGTCAACTGAGCCACTCCAGCCAGGCGAAGCTTGAGTTTTAAAAACCATTGTGCTAAGTAAATATGTGTGTAGGTGAGAGAGGAGGATGGTCCCAGATGATAGTGATTAAAAGTCCACGTACTAGCTGAAGACTGGATGGGATCCAAGGAATATTCTAAACTTCCTCACATTATCAACGTCATAGGAAATTAGGTTAACCGTTCTTTGTTTTGGACATTGTATTATGTTTGGCGACTCAGAGGAATCTATATAAAGATTAATACCTTCTCCTTTCCACACATGCTTCCTAATAGCCCCTCACAAATACTATATTGGATTCCGGTATGTCCACCCTTTAACAGAAGAAGCAATTGAAGAGATGGAGAGAGATGGGCTTGAAAGGGCTATTGCTTTCACGCAGTACCCACAGTACAGCTGCTCCACCACAGGTAAGGGCTTCTCTTTACAATGGAGTGCGGAAGGAGAGGATAAATCCTTTGTGATTTGAATGGCAAATCCAGCCTGTCTGCTTTAAACTCGAGAGTGCAGGTCAGTCCATTTGAAATCTCATGGTTCATCTGTCCCTTGAGTTATTGGCTGGTCGGCTGAGAATTACAAATGGTGGCAGAAGGCAGTGGCCGCTAGTGTTTACTGCTTTAATGCAGTTGTATGACGGACCAGGAGTGAACCTTAAGCCACTTTCTATGTGTGTGTAATAAACCTGTTTTTATGGCTACCCAAATGTAGCAAAGGTGATCAGTGTCTGCCCTTGGAAAGTAGAGGTGCCCATATCACATTGGGGATATTTGTATGTTTTTTGTTATGCTTCAGTTACTAGTTAAACCCAAGACCAGTTTGAGGTTCCTTCTGCAAACTAGAATTGTAGATTTTGGAAAATATTGCTGCGTATTATCTCCTATATATTTAACAGGAGGAGGAGACTGATCTGCGTTTGCCGATCCCTGTCTCATTAATCAATCGTAGGTGAAGCTTCTGCTGTTCACCCACAGATACATTTGTTTGTATTCTGTTTCAAGGATTGGGGTCAGCACACTTGTACTCCCAAATTGCTTTTGGATATTAGTGCATGTTATTTCTATAACTATAAGGAGAAACAGAAGGCTACTAGAAGACGTATTCAAAGCCTGTTTTGTTTAGGGCACCTATGAAAATGCCTGAGTTCTCAAGAGATTGAACTGTGATTGCTTTTGGAAATGTACCTCTACAACTTTAAAATGTCTGATAAAATGTTATTGGAGAAGGAATCAGATTTCATAAATGTCTAAGCTATCCTTTTGCCTTGCTTTAAAAAAATATATCTCAACATGTAAATGTCTGCTCTCAAAATTAGACAACTTCAGATGGCCCTCACCTTACCTGACAAAGGATTGAATTGGGTTTCATTTCAGAGCCGGCTCTGTTAGTGTGTTCAAAACGTCCACGTCTGCGCAGTGTTTCTCCTGCACTTCGTGTGTAAGGGCAAGCACTCCTCACCTCGGAGAGGGAAAGCCTTTGGGACGCACATTCACTCTGAGGCCACCAGAGTATCATTCATCTGTTACATCTTTTGGACACACGCAGTGGCAGAGCCCATATATTCTGTATATCAATCACAAGCTGTTTTTTTAGTTCTATTTTCCTCTTAATTACTACTTCTCGTAGTTCATGGACTGTTTCTGAGTGACCCAAAACAACTAAATGTGGCTTCCAGAAGTCCTTTTATACATCTGAAAATGCTGTTCACCTGTAAAATGTGGTTTGCAATGTGAATATAGTGGTGACTACTTTTTAATTTCCAAAGAGACTCAGTTTGGATTCCTCTGATTCATTGTGTGCTACTCACCAAAGTTGTCAGCCTAAGAGTATTCCTTTGATTTAAATAGGGCTCTGTCCTGACTAGCATTTTAAGTTGGAAACCTGATTAACAGTTCTCATAGTTAGGGAAACCAGTGGGTTGGTGTTGGGAAGCGTGAACTGTTTTGGAACTCTTGCTCTACGTTAAGATGGAGGTCGAGGCTCTGTGTTAGGATCAGTTTCATAGGACTAAGGCTTGGCGCCAGGTCCAGCTCCCCTAGGCCAGGTTAAACTTGCATTGGATTGGTACCATCATTTTCATGATTTCCATCTCTTCCTTGGAAATACAAGTTTTGTTAGGTTACCTGTAAGGTTTTGATGTCTGTTTAATGTATTCTAGGGAATAATGCTAATTTTGTAAAAGCAGATAAAAAGAGTGCTGGTAGAGGCCTCAACAAGCTGCTGTTTTTTCTTTCTTTCTTTTTTCTTTTTATCAACAAACTATTAAAAAGGATGGTTATAAAGCTTTTATTATAATGTGGGAAATATTCATCTCATAATATTAACTAAAATGCATAAAATACTCAGGATACAAAATTGCATATAGACTAAAATTACAATTTTGTAAAGCAAAACAGCTAAAAAGAAAAATAACTGGAAAGAACTCTGCTAGACTAAAACAATGACTGTATCGGTGAGCTGGATAATGGCCTGCTGCTTCTTCCCGTCTTCCCACTCTGCATTCGCTTCATCGGGCTGACCACCTTCAGAGTGGGGAAAGAACATTTCAACACGCCTTTAATTGTAAGACTTGGTCCTTGCAAATAACGGTGCTTGTATTTCATAAACCCACGGCCATCGTGTTTCTCACTAGAAATGACCTCAATGATCTTTGAAAGGCCGTTGAAATTGATTGCTTTTTAGTGATCTTCATTTGCAGGGTAGTGAAATCTATATGCGTTTTAGAGTATTGAAATGATTGTAATTAGACTGATTCAATATAGAAGCAGTTGTCTATTTTGAACTTAGAATCACTGCTTTTATTCGTCTTTTTTTTACTTTTGACATAGTAAATAGGCATCAACTAAGTGGCCCCTGTGTTTTCAGGTAGCAGCTTAAATGCCATATACAGATACTACAACGGAGTGGGAAAGAAGCCCGTGATGAAGTGGAGCACAATTGACAGGTGGCCCACGCACCCCCTCCTCATTCAGGTAAGCCAGCAACTACCAGCACCGTTACCCCAGCTCCTGTGTGGGCCGGGTTCCTCGCCCGCCTCTTCACAGGTGGCCCTCGGAGCCTCACTGCATTCTTGCTTAAATTATATGTTGAGGATTAAAAAAAAAGATCGGTGTCTTGATTTATTATGACAAGAGAAAATACATTTAAAGATGAAAGGTTAGACTCTTTTCTGTCTTCAGGTTAATACTGCTAGTCACCAACCATAGCAGAATTACATTTTAGGTTTTGTGTTTCCCAATGACCAGAAGACTGTTACAGATTATACAAGGTGTTTCTGCTAATATAAATCCTCCATTTTCTAAATCCTTTAAAATGTCAAAAAATTTAAAACTTAAAGGCAATATATTTACCTGTTCTGAGACATGAAAATAAATTTAACATTTCAGCTGAGACAGTTTCATATATTAGAAGAAATTTCAAAATTCTACACAATTTATAATTTATATTAATAGATGCTTGATATTAGAAGAATAAGTGAAAACTACAATTCTAAAGCCAATGGCTTTCTGTTTTTAATTTTATTTTTCAACTACATTTTACATTAGTGTTTGTTTCAGGTGTGCAGTGTAGAGGTTCGGCAGTCATATACTTTACAGAGTGGTCCTCCCAATATTTCCAGTACCCACCTGGCACCACACATAGTTATTACAGTATCATTGACTGTATTCCTCCTGCTGTACTTCACACCCCCGTGACTGTTTTGTGACTACCAATTTGTACATTTTAATCCCTTCACCTTTTTCAGCCAGACACTCAAACCCCCTCTCTTCTGGCAACCATCACTTTGTTCCTTGGTATCTATGAGTCTGTTTCTATGTTTGTTTTGTTCTTTAGATTCCACATAAAAGTGAAATCATGTGGTGTTTGTCTTTCTTGGTCTGACTTATTTCACTTAGCATAATACCCTCTATGTTCATCCATGCTGTCAAAAATGATAAAATAGCTTTAATTACCTTTTTTTTTTCCTCACCCGAGGCATTTTTCCATTTTTTTGTTCAGATAGAGTGGGAAGGAGAGAGAGAGAAACATCGACGTGAAAGGGACACATCGAGTGGCTGCCACCTGCACGACCAACCAGGGCCAGGGACAAACTGCAACCGAAGTACATGCCCTTAGCGGGAACCGAACCAGGGTCTCTCTGGACCACAGGCCCACGTTCTAACTGCTGAGCCAAACCGGCCAGGGCTAATTACCTTTTATTTTATTTTTTTTAATAACCTTTTTTACCCTTTGAATATGAGAGTGCTATGTATGGTAAATACCCTGAGTCATGCAGGTATAGTTTTGTTCTGTTGGTGGAAGTTTCTGCCTTTGAGTTAGTTGAGGCAGGAGAAATACTAAGCGATTCAGATTTCACCAGTTTGTGTTTTCATTCCTTGGACATTCTCTGACTGGCAAAATACCAGCTTAACACCTTTTTTAAAAGCCTGGAATCACTTAAAATCTCTAACCACTAGATGGTGCTAGACATCGTTAAAAGCTGGCCAGCCCTCCCCTGAGCAGACCACGTTCCTTAGACACGTAGGAGAAGTCAAAGGTTAACCCTTTGGTTGAAATTTAGTTTTACGTAAAGGGTGAAAAGAAGACACCTTCCCTCAGAAGTGGGTGTAGTCTCTGTGCCCCCCTCGTTTGCTCTGCTGCTGGGTCCAGTCGGCACCTCCTGAAGCCACACCATGCCCTGGCTCTCTTCCTCCTGGAGGCTTGGACTGGAAACGAGGGGTGTTTCGGGTCAGCACTGACATGTGGTAGTGGAGAACTGTGGGGTCTGCGCAGCATCTGCCTGCCCTGATCCAGGGAGTAATTAGATTTGCATTAAAATTCAGCCATTTGAAAAGGGTGGAAGCAGAAAGATGGAAGGGTCTCTTAACGGAGGAAGTCTCGTTCATAAAATGAAAGGGAATCTTAGAGGCATTTATCTGCCCTCCTAGATGGTGTGATTGAAGGCTCTGAGAGCCGCCTGCCGCTTTCATTCTGCTGAGGGATTGCTCGCAGAAAAGGCCACAGATGGATTTTAGGCGATTTAGGCAGCACTGGGACTTGCCCAGGGCTCCTCAGTTTGACGGTCTGCCGTAAGTCGCAACAGAGTGTTTCCAAGATGAGAAAAGGAAAATTACAAAACTTCTTTGGAAACAAAAATTTACACATAGATTCCATTCTTAACGTCATGTAGATTACATGAGAAGGAGATTTGCTATCTAGCAGAAATAGAAACAAAACAAAAACAACCCTAAACGTAGACCTTAAGCTAAAACTATAGTTAAAAACTAGAACTATAAATATTTTTAATGACTTTTCCTACTTATTATGGGCAGTAATTACTTAAAATAGTCATTTTACTACTGTTGCTCTGCTGTTGGAATAATTGGAGAAGATGGATGTTCCGCGCTCCCAGGTAGAGTTGCAGTGGGCCTCCTCGTCTGAGCCTGTGTCCGGAAGTGACCCTTTGTGAGCATCCTCAGTTTCCAAACACTGCAGAGACCACCAGAAATACTGGTTTCGTTTGTAGCGAATCCTATAAGTACATTGTAAATTTTGAGAAGGCAATTAACTTTCTAGGCACCATTTTGTGCCTTAGGACATTTATTTACCAATTTTGGGGGGTTCTGGAAAGATGAATAATATCTCAGTATTTATTGGGGAATAATTTTGCTCATCCTAAACTGGTATATATTCAAATACCAACAAGTATACATGTATACAGTTCTGCTAAGTTCTCCTATATAATGTTTTAAAAGCCTTTTCATTTGGAAATAATTTCAAACATGTAGAAAAGTTAAAAGACTAAGAGTAGTATAAGGAACTCTCATTTGCTCTTTACCTGGGTCCACATATTATTAATACTAACATTTATCTCTGTGTGTACATATATATGTTTATATATACATAATTTTTTTCCTGAGCCTTTTGAGATTAAGGTTTAAATATATACATACGTATATAAAATCACCCTTTCCACCTAAATAGCAGGGATATTTTTTTAACCATGATACAACATTCAACTTCAGTAAATTTAACATTGATGAATTTATCTAATCCATGTTTAGATTAGAATTCTGTCAATTGACCCGTTAATGTTCTTTGTAGCATTTGCTTTATAAGTGAAATGACAAAGAATGATTAAAGTGTAAGATGAAAGAAAGCCTCCTCAGATCTGGTATTTCAGCACCTATTGATGTGCATCGGAAAGTGCCAACTAGACGAAGGGAATTAACCGGTCTGGTCGACAGAGGTTTGGGGGAGGAGGCGGGCCTGCGTTCTAGCCCAAGTTCCGCAGATGTGACTGAAGGGCCCCCTCGTCGGTGCGTCTTTCCGCCCTCTGTGAATTTAATGGGAGTTTTACAACCTCTCATCTGTTGTTAGGAAGATTGACTCTGAGGACACTGGGCTCAGAAGGAAAAGGTCGTAAAAATAGATATTTTCTTATTCCTCTACTATTTCTGTCTAATGTATTTTAATGCAATATTCCTGAAAGCCAAACTAAGGAGATTTAGAAAGACCCTGTAAGCTGTTTTCCTGCTAACCGAGCAAATGAGAGGTCTTAAAACAACTTCTCCTTCCCATCTGCGTTTCCTTTCCATCTGGAAATGTGCCCTGTTCCTCCCGAGGGGCAGCAGACCCAGAGCCTTCACTTTCAGTGAGCCATTAGCGAGCTTTAGAAGTTTCCCATCAAATTCCCCAGGCCCCAGAAACCGTTAGGAGCCATTTTGATGATGAACCAAAGCAAGAGAGACTGTATTGTTTGCAATTTTTTAAAAAGAGGGTTTTGAGTTTTGAGGGTCGCGCTGACATTTCTGGTGTGGCTCTCATTTTTAAAACACTGTCTTCCTTCCACCTCTTCCTCCCCACTTGCTCCTGATCCTCCTTTCTTGGTGTTTCTGCAGTGCTTTGCGGACCACATTCGGAAAGAGCTGGACCATTTTCCACCGGAGAAGAAAAGCGAGGTCGTCATTCTTTTTTCTGCTCACTCACTGCCGATGTCTGTAAGTAAGAACATTGTGTTGGATGGCCTCGTGGTAGAGGGTTTCTGAATGTGTAACATGGACCCCGCTTCCACAATCTCAGACCTAATGTGGTGCTCATTTAACGCGACTCACTTCTTAAGACCTAATAATAGCTCATTCAAAAGATAATATTTATAACCTATTTTACTGTATACAGATTATAATTACATGAAGATGTATTCACATAGAAGGATTTTTAATAAGTGGACAGTGAGAAGAAGATCACTCGTACCTGCCTGATGTTTCAGCGGGGAGAGGCACAGGCCCTCCATTCAGACTGAGTGCTCTCGGTCTCAGACTCATTCTTTTGTCCTCAAGACTTGATGGGGGCTACCTGAATTCTAAGAAACAATTACAGGGTTTTTTTTGTTTGTTTTTTTTTAAATCCTCTTCCCAGGATATGTTTTTTTTTTTTTTCATAGATTTGAGAGAGAAACATTAATTGGTTGCCTCCCGTAGAGGCCCCCACTAGGAACTGAACCTGCAACCTTGTGGGGTATGGGACAATGCTTCAGTTAATCGAGCCTCCCGGCCAGCGCACAGTTAGGCTTTAACTTGCTCAGACTAGGACCACGCTTTGGCGGGCTAATGCAGAGTGGGTAGGGACAGGAACGACCCAGCAAGTACGCCCTGTGCTACATGGAAGTGCTGGGACTAAGCAGCAAGTTTCATCGGCTCAGAACTAGCATTATGTCCTGCAGACATTGCTTTCAAAGCTGGAGAGGTGGAGAACTTCATTTTCTTAGGTGTTATCAAGGTTTTAACTCCAGGGTTAATGGAGTTAATGTGAGTGGGCGTCTTCTAATCATTCTTGACTGCCACCTGGTGGTCACCGGGGTCGAGCCCTTTGCAGCTTTTCCACTCCCTCATTTCAGCTAAGCAGTTGCCATTTCAGCAGTATGTGGCCCTGGAGATCAATTTCTCTCTCCTGGAAGCCTGCCTGTGTTATTTGAACAGGTTCATAGTCTCTCTTTCTGGCGTTATGCAAATCCTCTTCACATGTCCACCTTCCTTCTTCACCCTCCTCCTGTTTATAACTGTCCCAGCGCGATGAGGCCACGTCTGAAGTGCCAGAGGGGAGCTCTCGACCTGGGGGAGGAGGAAGCACATTTTTACACATGAACGTTTCCAGGTGCTGCCTTCTCTTTTCTCACCCTCAGCCCCACTTCTCTTTCCCCTCCAGGACTGAGCATGCTGCTTCCAGGTTTCTTTGCTGCCCAGGGTCCTGTGTGGGACGAGTCATGGGCCGAGGAAGGGGTGGGGAGCGTGGGATTGTCGAGGAAGAAAACTGATGCAGCAGCCTCTTCTTTTCCCTACATTTCCCCCTTCACAGCTTTTTAAAAACGTATTCTTCAAAATAATTTTAGTCTTAAAGAAAATTTGCAAAAACCAGAGCCGTGTCCCCTTCATGTAGCTGGGCCTGACGTTGACGTCTCGCATCATCACAGCGCAGTCAGAGCTGAGAACCGAACCATGGTGCTCTTCCCAGAGCCCACCGCTCCTTCCACCGTGTCCTTTTTCTGTTCCCGGATCCAGCGCAGGATCCCACGTCACGCTCAGCTGTCTCCTCGTGTCCTGCAACTGTCCTTGTCTCCCTGACCTTGACATTTGTGAAGAGTGATTTTGTAGAATGTCAGCTGTTGTGTAGCATGCTCCTCCGGTTGGATGTGTCTGGGGTTTCCTCGTGATTACACTGAGGTTGTGCATTGCAGGGAAGGATACCCCATGAGGGCCTGTGCTTCTCAGGGCGTCCGCTCAGGGGTATGTGATGACAAGTGTGCCTTACTACTGGTGGTGTGACTGTTGGTCATTCATCTAAGGTGGTGTGTGCTGGATTTGTGCAGGTGTAGTGACTCTTTTTTAATCCTCACTCGAGAATATTTTTCCATTAATCCTTAGATAGAGCGGAAGGGAGGGAGGGGGAGAGAGAGAAACATCGATGTGAGAGAGATACACTGATTGGCTGCCTCCTGCGTGACCCCGACCTGGGCTGGGATGAACCTGCATGTACCAGGTATGTACCCTTGACTGGGAATCAAACCTGAGACCCTTCAGTCCACAGGCCAGTGTTCTAACTGCTGATCCAAACCTGCTAGGGCTACTCTTTTTCTTTTTGTAATCAAAAATATCTTCGGGGAGAGCCTTCGAAACTGTGCTGGTGTCTTATTTCTCAGATTTTTTTTGCCCCATGATTTTAGCACCATTGGTGTATCTTGTCTGTAGCAGTTATTTCTGTGCTGTTCTGATGGTAACTTTATATTTCCCTCATTTCTTCTACATTTATGTACCTGATGGCTTTTTAACTCATTTTTGGTAGTATTATAAAATAGTTCATCAGTATTTCATGTCAACAGCATTTATGGAGCACCTACTGTATTCCAGGCACCGTCCTACCATGACCTCAGGTTCTGGGAATGAATAAAACAGGCACAAATTTTTGCCCCAGGGAGTGAGGGAAACAGACAGTAAACATAGTACATAAAATATTACAGTATATTAGGAGGCAGGAAGTGTTACGGAAGAAATACAGCAGGGTGAGGGTGTTAGCACACAACTCAGTATTGAAGGGGTAAAAACACAATTTCTGCTGAACGTTTGCAAGGTTTTAACAACTGCTCTGACTGTCAGAGCGTTTCTCCGACCTTCGCTGAGCACACAGCGTTCTTCTAGGTCCATTGCTGTGGGCAGAGAGGGTGGAGACGGGGTCAGAAGGCACCGGCCCCGTTCCTGAGCACCCTGGGGTCCGAGCCCAAGTGCTGCTTCTCTGGTCTCTCTTGACCCACCAGCGTTTGCCCCTGTTTCCCTGGACTCGGCTCTACACACTGTCTATGCAATACTCTCAGTCCCTGCTCTAAGTCAGCCGCTCCAGTGACCGCCCAGGTGGAAGTCCCACCCATGTTGACCCTCCCTGCCCAACTGACCCTCGTCCATCATCATACACGGTCAATTTCCCACAAATAATGTAGAACACAGAACTTGACGTTTTCTTAGGGACTTTAGAGATGATTGACCTTTGGCCAGTGAAGAAATGGATCCAAGGGAGTTTGGTGATGGAGGTCAGATCATGTTATCTTTCATGCGGAAGACAGAAGGGGAAGACTGGTCTGGGGCTCACATCATTTCACTGCACGGACCCAGGCTCCTAGAACCCTTCACAGTGTTGTGACTGAACACCCCTGTGTCTCTGCTGCAGGTGGTCAACAGAGGGGACCCCTATCCTCAGGAAGTGGGTGCCACCGTCCAGAGAGTCATGGAGAACCTGGACTACTCCAACCCCTACCGCCTGGTCTGGCAGTCCAAGGTAGGTGGCTTACGCACATCTGCGGGCAGTCGGCTGTTTTGAGGATGCGAGGATGCCTGTTTTAGGACTTAGTTGTAAGATGATGGGGTTTGGCTCCTTCATATGGACAGGCTGTGTGTAACCTGATTGCTCAGCATGGGCAGAAAGAACTCTGCAAGCATGTCAGATGGAAGGGAAATCGAGTGGCTAGTTGAGATCCATTGACTTAATTTCTTTTCTTTACTTTGTTTTTCATTTATTTTTATTTTTTAGAGAGAATGGAAGGGACAGAGGTAAAGAGAGAGAGAAACTTCGATGTTGAGAGAAGCACCTCAGTTGGTAGCCTCCCGCACTGGTCGGGGCCCGGGAAACCTGCAGCCCAGGCATGTGCCCTTGACCACGGTCGAACCCGTGACCCTTTGGTATGAGAGCCAGTGCTCTAACCGCTGAGCCAAACTGGCCAGGGCAATGTATTATTTCTAGTCGTAACGACAGTAACTGTTACTTCTGGTGTGCCAACGCTAGAAGGGTCCAAGCTTCAGTGTGGAAATACCAACACCCGAGAAAGCGGGTGTGGAGCGTGGCCCTTGCTCTCAGGGGAGGTGTGTGTGCCCAGGGCAGGGTGTGCCAGACGTGGCGGGAGAAGGGGGGCCCGTGCGCACTCATCCTCCTTCCTCCTAGGTCGGTCCGATGCCCTGGCTGGGTCCTCAGACAGACGAGACGATCAGAGGGCTTTGTGAGAGGGGCTGGAAGAATATCCTCTTAGTCCCCATAGCGTTTACCAGCGACCACATTGAAACACTGTATGAACTGGACATCGAGTACTCGCAGGTTCTGGCTCGCGAGGTAAACGCTGTGTCTGCCTTATTCACCCCTCTGTGGCTTGTTTTAAAGGGACACTGTCTATCGTGATCTAATTGTGTCGTTCAGAAACATTGCATGGAGTGTATGTTTGCACGTGCGTGTCCTCCTCGCGCTGAATGGTGCTTGATCTGAGGACTAAACTGACCCCGTCAAGCCCATTCCATGTCAGCGGTGGGGACCACTCTTGTGCCTCTCTCACATCAGGTGACCCTCTGTGGGAGACATCACTGTGTCTAGTTTAGGTATTGTACTACTTGAAAGTAATAAAAACTACATACACTTCTTTAAGAAAACATAATTTATGTCTCACCAATCTGGAGGAAAATGTTTTTATTGTTCTATAATTCCTTTTCTTCACCGAAGAGTGTCCTTTGGGTTTCTGAGGCATATGGAGTCGTTATTTAGGGAAAGAGCATGCAGTTTCCTTGGGCGCCTTTTTCATGCACGTAGTTAGCTGTTTGCTCCTGTGTTATCAGTCTGATTATTGAGATAACAGATGCTCTCCTTGGTGGCTTGTGATGTAAGGAGGTGAACTGTCATTCAGAGTGGAGAAAAACCGTGGTTCACCATCTCATGGCTTCCGAAGGTCGGCCTAAAACCTGAGCACGATTTATAGCATTGTCTGTGGGAACTGTGGAAGGACTGGAACCCAAGAAGCCCTTCCCCCTCAGTGTCTGCCAGAACTCCTGTCCCTGGTCATCCCTGTGTGATTGATGGAGGCCTGGCCTCGAAGAATCCCTCACCCTCGCTGGGACTGGGCCGCAGGTGCAGGGCGGGGTGGAGAGGGGGTTGGAGGAGCGCCTAGGCCAGCGCCCCACCCCACAGGTTTGTGTGTCCGTGCCGGTCATCAATCAAGCACTGATGAAGTTAGAGGTGCCTAAATTACTTGTCAGTAGTTCTGATAAAGAATTTATGGGCAACTTGTAATTGGCTAAAATGAGGTTGCAGGGTTGTCGGTGGATTCATTTAATGATACCTTCTGCTTCCACCGTGACCGAGGCTAATTGTGAGTGTGCTAAAACACGTAAGTGCAAATACAGTTCAGACCATTGTGTTTGGAAAGCAAGCTTTTGTTTATATTGGATGATAATTCCTATTCATTCATATTACTAAACCGAGGCCATTCCTTAATAATCCATGATTATTAGTGACTAATATGTTAGTCCATATCCAGAATAAAGAAAACCATTTAGTTCTAATTTATTTCATTATTTTTATGGGAGAATGTACTGTGTTTTAAACAATTAACTTTCTTTAGAAAGTAATTTCAGTGTTTTCCTCCAATAGAAATGACTTCTTTTTGATAATAAAAATAATAAAGGGCTCAGACAGTTGAGAGAAGTATATAACACAGAGAGTAGAATCTTAACTCCTCAGCCATAATATGTTAATACTTTGATAAAAATAAGACCCCTTTCCCCTTTAAATATGTGTGTATTTTAATTAAAATGTTACTCTTCTACATGCTTAAAAAAATGGTATATTATTCATAATGTTTTGTAACCTTTTTTTTTCTTAAAAATATATTATGGACCCAAATCAATAAATATAATTAGATCTATGTAATTATTTTGAACAAATTCTTAATTAGTATACATTAAAGTTGTTTCTAATTTTTTACTAGCCTAAAAAAACTACTCTGTAATAAACATCATTTCCTTTTTTATTTTTCCCATTGTTTTCTAAGGGTAAATTCCTAGAAATGGAATATATATATATATATATTTTTAGAAATGGAATTTAAATGTTGACATATTTTACCTGGTTGCCCTGTAGAAATGTACCTGTGATTGTCCCGTTGGCGACGTCTGAGAACACGTTGGCCAGCACTGGCCACTTTGCTGTTCCTGCTTCTCCATGAAGTTTAGAGCACAGTGTTGTTTGAGAACTGTGTCTGCTGAGTCTCAGCATTTTCCTCAGGCCAGTCTTCTGATGTTAATACTAACGTAAAAGAGAAAAGACTTTCACCAGCATTTGGGAAGGGAAAGAGTAAATAATAAAGAGATAGTTCTCACGTATTTGGGGGATAATTAGCTAGATATTTTTGGAGAGGAGAGAAGGGATGATAGTGAAACAATATTCAAATTTTTATTTTAGATTTTTTTTTTTTTTTTTTTATCCTCACCCGAGGACATTTTTCCATTTTTTGTACAGATAGAGTGGGAGGGAGAGAGAGGAAGAGATATATAGAGAGAAACATCGATGTGAAAGGGACACATTGAGTGGTCACCACCCGCACGACCAACCAGGGCTGGGGACAAACTGCAACTGAAGTACGTGCCCTTAGCGGGAACCGAACCCGGGTCTCTCTGGACCGCAGGTCGACGCTCTAACCGCTGAGCCAAACCGGCCAGGGCAGATTTTTTTTTTATAATGTAAGGATATATTTAAAATCTCAACTCTGAATTGGAGTCCATCTAGGTTCAATATACATTAAATTAATTTACCTCTTTTGACACTTGGAATCAAAACACGTATAAACATTTACTTCAATCAATATTCTGCTTAGGTAGAGTCTATAAAGGTGTGCATTAGAAAGGTACAATAAAAAAAGAATGGTAAAAAGAACTTATATGCATATATGCGTAACCAATGGACACAGACAACAGTATGGTGAAGGTGAGGGGGGATGTCAAAGGGGAAAAAAGGGACATCTGTAATAAAAAAATCAATAAATTAAGAATTAAAAAAAAGAATGGTAAGCAGATTTAATTTACTTGGGAATTCTAACAAATACACCCTCAAAAATGGTTTGGAAACAAAGCACCTATGGGAAGGTGATGGGTAGGGGGGGGGAATAGAAATTGAAGAGCAATTTTATGATAACACAGGTGCAAATCAGCATATGGCTTGGTCCTGTGAATAGTTTTCATTTCTGAGCAATCTGGGAACTCTTTGAAGTATGACTTGGAGGGTGTGTGTGTGTGTGTGTGTGTGTTCTGTAGCAGTCAGTTCTTTAAAGAAAATAAAATGTGTATTTGTTTTTCCTCCCTTTTCTTACTTGATTCAGTGTGGAGTTGAAAACATCAGAAGATCAGAGTCTCTTAATGGAAATCCATTGTTCTCTAAGGTACCCCTGGACTATCGCCCTTTTAGTAGAACACATCGGAGAGTAATCCTCTGAGAAACTCTTACAGAATATTGGTTTTCTCACATAGTAGAACATTTTGAGATCCAATTAATTACAGAAATAAAATTGAATTCCTCATACTCCCACTCTTTTTTTCCTTTAGGTAGCCCCCATTTTCTGGTTTCTACCCACCTATCACTAAGTCTGACTTAAAATCTGCCTTTCAGAGACGAACAAGGTTTTAGCAGGTGGGGTAAGAGGATTTCAATCTAAAGTCTCGGTTTTAAGTTTTTTCTAAGCTGAGGGTTCTTAGGAAAGAAAGATATTATAGAATGTGGTTCAAAGGATTCATAATTCAGCTTAAAAGAAACCCCAAGCCTTGGGATTATCAGGACAGACGGGAGGGGAGTGCACGAGTGGGGGAAATGAGCAGACTTTCGTTCTGATGCGTCTTTGCCTCTTGTCATCCCCTTCCAGGCCCTGGCTGACCTGGTCCACTCACACATCCAATCAAACGAGCTGTGCTCCAAGCAGTTGATCCTGAGCTGTCCGCTCTGTGTAAATCCTGTCTGCAGGGAGACTAAATCCTTCTTCACCAACCAGCAGCTGTGACACCCGCCAGAGGACCCCATGGGATTAGGCAAATGCCAGCTTCCAGAGGATGTGGAGGAGGACGCACTTAGGGATGGAGGAAGGACGTTACATTAGAATATGTACAGCCTTTGGGCGCACATTGTGTGATTTCTTGAGGAACAAGTCTGAAATCCTATTGAGTGTTTTCTATTTTTATATGCCAATATAGTAAGCACTTATATTCTCTCTTTCTTTGGGTAAAGTTACTTATTTGGAATTAATTTTAAAATTTTATCTTGTGAGATGCACACGTATTTTAAATACAGATTTTGGGTTTATTGCCCAGAGAGCCCTCCTATAAGGGGCGGGGGAGTCCCTGCAGTGGGCTGCCAATGTGACTGGGGTCTGTTTACAAGCCTCGTGCACAACTGTTGTTTTTTAAAGTGAACATAATTGCATAAAAACAATATAACTTGAAAAAGAAATGCTACCTGATCTTCCCTAGGCCAGTGGGTCACAGAATGCTGTTGGGGAGGTGTGGTCACCCACAAGGGCTGCTTTTGCTAGTGCTGTGGCCATCCGTGGTCATTTTGGTAGTGGTGTGTGACTCTCACTTTCCTTACCATCAAACCAAACCAAGGACGTGTCAAAAGTGCTCCGAGAGTCCCCAGGCACACGAGGCTAGTAAACGTGTAGAAAGCCCGCCTTTGTCGTACGCGCCTCGGTGGGACTCTGGTGCCACGGGAAAGGGGCTCCCGTTGCTTCCTGTCTCGAAGGCTGAGATGCAGGGAAGCTGATGGTGGGATTCACCGCGAGCTCCTCCCCGGACCTGAGAACCTTTCTCAGAGCATCTTCTTCATCTTGGCTGAATGTCTCCTTTCTGCACATTTCTCTGAAGAGACTTATTTTATAAAGACATCTGTGTTTTGTAACCTTGAATTCTTTTTTAATTTACCATTGTTAATTACAAAAATGATGTAACATGCAATAGGACATTTGAAAAATAGAGAAAAGAAAAATTACCACTTTTATGCAACAACTATTCATCATATTGTCTTTCATGCCATTCTTTTTCCGTGGGTATTTTTAAGGCCACTGTGACCTTGAATTTGAGTGAAAAGTTCTAAAAATGTAGAAAAAATGTAGGACCAGAGTCTGATCTTCTATACTTGGATTTAAGTGGATTAAAAATCTCTGATGGATCCGTAATGAATTTGTAATGATTACTTTGTCTTTTCCTCGTTGCCCTAAAACTTTGTTCTTCAAAAGAGCATTTCTTTGATTTTGTAAAAATCCTGTTCATAAAGTAGAAGTATTACTGGAGTCATAGATCTTCTATACTCAGGATTTTCTATATTAATCAATATTATGACATTATTAAGGTTTTAACCAGTTTGATTCATGCTCTCTGTTAAATCAAAACTAATCCAAATCCTGACCAATGTGGCTCAGTTTCTTGGAGCGTTGTCTTGTGCATCGGAAGGTCACCAGTTTGATTCCTGGTCAGGACACACACCGGGTTGTAGGTTCGATCCCCAGATGGGGTGTGTGCGGGAGGCAACCGATCTGTGTTTCTCTCTTATCTCTCTCTCTCCCTTTCCCTCTCCCTTCCTGTCTCTCTAAAAAATAAATAAAAGCATATTTTTTAAAAATCCGAATTAGTTAATAATCAAAATTATTGAATAGGCATTTACTTTGAAATACAAGAAAAGAAACATGACGTCCACTCTAGGTACTAGTTTGCCCACGCTGATAACAGCTCTGACATTTAAGAAGCATCTATGTATTTTTTCAGATTGGTTTACTATTTATAGATTGTGTTTCCAGAGAAAGGTGCAAGGCACAGGTAGTTCTTTAGAATTTTCCTCATCTCTTTCCATCAGCTTTTTGGGGATTAGGTTCAAGGCAAACTTTGAGTGCCTGTCCCACATGGATTGAGTCCTGTGGGTTAGTGGCCTGGTGGTGAAGACAGGTTACACTTGTGGCCAGTCTTCCCCTCCAGGGCATTTCCTGAGGGCCTACCTCACTGCACTGCTTCAAAGTTGAATGTGTTGTGGAGATGCTGCAGAAAACTCCAAGTCAAGAGCTTCTGCCCAGGTACCTGAAGCCCATTTGCGAAGGAAGCTTCCACATTAACTGTGGGCTGTCTGGAGTAACAGCCTTGGTTCTGCATCGGGACCAGACCGGCCTGTGTAGGGAGAGGCTGAGGCGGGTTTATGGGGACCACTGCCCACGGCATGTGTTGTTCTAAGAAGTGTGTGTTACCTTTGACTTATGAACCGAAGATGGGTACGAGTCATACAAGAAACTCAGCAACTGCTCTTCTTAGAGCTAATAGGCTTTGAGAATTGTTCTGTTTGTCAGCTTTGAAGTACAAATGTTTGCCCTGGTAATGAGTGATGCACTGTTGGCAGTTTCTGCAAGCTGCACTTAGGTGCCGACCTGGCTTTAATTGCTGAGCCAACTTGCACAGAAAACTTGCAGGAGCTGTGATGAGGTGGCAGTTTCGCTTGCCAGGGTTACAGGAGGCCCAGTATGGAATAGCACAGAAGGAAGGAACTCTTAAGAATATGCATTCTGGCCCTGGCCGGTGTTGCTCAGTGGTTAGAGTATTGTCCTGCACACTGAGGGGTTGAAGGTTCGATTCCCGGTCAAGAGCACCTACCTTGGTTGCAGGTTTGATCCCTGGCCCCGTTGAGGTTGCATGTGGGAGCCAACCAATTAGTGTGTCTCTCTCACATCAATGTTCCTCCCTCCCTCCCTCCCTCCCTCCCTCCCTCCCTCCCTCCCTCCCATTCTATCTAAAAATTAATGGAAAAAGTATCCTTGGGTGAGGATTAACAACAACAACAAAAAAGGTATATTAGTGACATGTTGGTGCTGATTGAATAGTAAAAATCCATGACGTTTTCTCGGAGTACCCAGCCTTGCTCGAGTAATCCCATGCACAGATGTAACATTCCTCCAGGATTCAGTTAAATCTTTCCTTATGGCTGAAATTATTTAGATAGTGATGGTTACGTAGTTATGCAGAGAAAGTGGATTTTCTGCTCCATGGTGCCCAAACTAAGCCTGTCAGAGGGTACATTATATTAACAGTCATAAATTTATGACATTTATATGTTTAGCTGCTCTTTAAAAATAGACTTTTTTTTTCTTCTTAGGGAAAATATACTGACTTGCTGAGATGAGTCTCAGAATGAAGCCCCCCTTTTTTCCCCTCATCTAATCCATTCTCATCACTTAGGTATTTACTTCAAGAAACCCTACCTTAAGGTGTGCAAGAGAGTGTTTGCTCAATTTGATGCTGTTGTGTTTATCCAAAACATGGTGTTACACCCGCAGGGTGAAGCCACACCACTGAGTGGGCAGCAGAAAGACCACACCCCCATGCATGGGTAAGCGCGTGAGTCTGCAGACCTTGGGGCTCGTCTGTGTTCGCACGTCCATTCAGGGCTGGGGGGGGGGGGGGGCGGGTGAGGGGCCGACTTGTGTGGCTGTAGCTGGAGGGATGAATTTAGAGCTGATGACCATAAGAAAAAACATCTGTGTGCATGTGTGTGTCCATGCACAGGTGCGTAAGCCTGGAGCCTTTGACCACATCTTTTTTTTAAGTTTTTTTCTTTATTTATTTTAGAGAGAAAGGGGGAAGGAGAGAGAATAGAAACATTGTTGAGAGAGAACATCGATTGGCCGCCTCCTGCATGCCCCCCAACTGGGGATCAGGCCCACAACCTGGGCATGTGTCCTGATCGGGATTCAAACCGGCGACCTCTTGGTGCGTGGGTTGACACTCAACCACTGAGCCACACCGGCCGGGCTTCATCTTTAGTACCACGTCCCGAGCTCTTCACCTTGTCTGAAAGACCCCCTCTGTCAGAATCCTGATGGTGGCGTTAGGAACAGGCTTCCCAACACGAGATGGCAATGGGAAATCCGTTGAGATGTCAGAAGCTGGAGAAGAAAATTCTGAGTTGACCCTAAAATTAGCACCCTCCGTTAATGTCATTCAGCCTCTCAGTCTAACTGGCAATATGGACAACCCTAGAGGAGGACACACGCCAGTCACTTCTTTCATGATTTATACAAATTATAAAATCACAAACATTTAATTAAGGCCGTGTCCCAGAGGGGCTTTGTAAACGGCATTCTGAGGCCTTTGTTCTCACTGCGCAACAACAGATTCCTGTGGAAGAAGCCCCGGCAGTAACTGCTACCGGTGGCCTTTTGTGACACTGACATTTCATTTTACTGCAACAAGCGTCAGAAGGTTTCAGGGAACATGCATCAGAGGGATTAAATCTGAAGATCGGATGACTCAAGAAACCCGAATTCTGCTGGACTCGCTGCCAGGTAGAACACTCAATCATGTCGTCAGTGGGTCGCAGTTCCATGTGCTCACCGTCTGTCAAACAGTGGCACCTCAACACTTGATTTTTTCTTTTCTTTCTTACTAGATTTCTTCCAGCTGGACAGTTTGTGCTATAACTCTGACTTGACTGTTTGCCTTCAGAGCTGTGCTTCTTTGCAAAACACACTTATTCTGGAAAGTATGAAGCGTGCCGAGCTCCATGGCACCGGCCTGGGTGGTGGGTCTTTGTGGGGGCTCGAGAGAGACGCTGATGCTGCCAGTATTCGCTGAGTGGCACTGGTGCAGGGAGAGGGCGGGGGACCAGCGTGGGGCCACCGCCCCTGCGTGAGAGGAGTCCTAGCCCCGCTCTGGGAAGTGGGTGCCCCTGGAGAACACAGCCATAACACGGTAGGGGCCCAGGGGAGGGAGAAACGCTTTTGCTTTCGATGTGGGAATCTGATTAAGCCTTTCTACAGGGAAAAGGAAGCAGAAAACAAATGCGCCCTGTGATAATCAGTTTCTTACAATAAATATGCTTTGATAGTGCTGGCTTAGTTGTTTTTAGCTGAAATCATTAGCTTCTATTTTTAGTATAACAACTACTGGCTAAATTAGTCTACAGTAAGCCATTAAGATGGATGTTGGAATTAAAAACATTTTTGGAAAAAAGCCTGCTTTGAGCCTGGGTTGGGAGCCCGTGGGCAGGAACTGGGTCCCGGGTCTGGTTGCTTGGACGCCGTCGCTGCCCTCCAGGCCTCGGGCCTCACAGCCCGCCTCTGAAACGGGGGCGCACAGGCCTCCTTCCTCCTTCCAGTCCCCCATCGCAAAGCTGTGCTTTCCTAACACGTTAAGAAATAATGCATTTTACCCCGAGAACTCGTAAAGTGTCCTGCACTTTCATCTTTTCCTTACTTAGAGAAATGTACATACCAGGATGCAGTCGGCTGTTCAAGAGCCCAAGCTGGGGGTGCCGGCTTGCGAGAGCCCATGGTCCACTTTCAGGCTGTGAGGCAGCGGTCAGTAAACATTCCACCAGTCCAATTGAGTCGTATTAGAAACAAAGGTGACGGACTTCACCGCTTCCCAGTTACTGGCCTGTTTTATTATCTTGGCTCAGGTTGCCTGTGTCTGTCGGACCTCTGGTGGAAACACTAGAGGATGACCAGCTACTGTGCCTGTTTCCAACTTTGTTCAGTGACATCACATTGGCGGCTAGAAATTGGCTGCTGTCGGACCAGTCGCACTGTGGAACTCGGCACATACTACGAGTGAGGCCTCGATTGTCTTGTGGATTATCTAGACGTAGAAAGTGGCGTGGAAAATGTTAATGGTGCAGTGAAAAGTTGCATCTAGCCGGCACATGGTGACTAGCACGTAGACTCGAGGAAATGCTTCCATTATTTGAAAACGATGATCGGATTCACCCAAGTTCCCGCGTACAAAGACGCTGCTTCACGTTGGCGTTGTTCATTAACGCAAACACTCATGTTAACGCTGACATTCCTGTCAGGACTGTGTGGTTGACCGGTTGTAACCATAGGTTGGTTCTACAAATGCAAGAACTTGGTAAAAAAAAAATTAACAAAAGCATTCTTTGAGAATCCATTGACTACATGGAATTTATAATAAAGAGTATTGTATTTTATTATTATTTGTGAATTGTGCTTCCTACCTCTTTTCTACAAGTAAAATTTATAGCAAACCTACACTCACACGTATATGCGTAGGTGGTTTTTCAGAGCTGGTTGGTGACCACGTCTCAGCACACTACTGCCTAAAAGGGACCTTTTCTGGGATGATGGAAATGATTCGTGTGGCTCGAGTACTAGTATTGTTCTCCAGGTTCATTATCTGCAGA